ACTAGATGTGGATACGTTTAAACCTATTACCCTCCAATTGTGTATAAAAGCTTTCCAAGCATCCTATTCTGTCTATAAATGGAATGTGTAGTAATACATATTTTCTTTGTTTATTTTTTACGGTCAAGACTAAAATTCAGGTAAATGTAAAATATTATATATGAATATTATGTAATTATTCAGCCGCCAGGTGGAACTTTAGGTTCCCTCTCACATTTTCCTCTATGTCCTTTGTTGTTAGTAGCCTGTCATTACAGAGCTTAATAACACAGAACAGTAATTCCTCCCCCCATCTCTATATGGCTCCGTCTGAGGTTTCAATCAGGCAGGCATGGGGCTTCTGATGTGTTCCCTATTTAGAAAGCTAAACAAAAATGGCAATGGAACCAATCAGTTTATACCTACCGAAAGTGAGGTGCATATGGAAGGGCCTTACGTAGAACAAACACAAAAATTTCCCAGCATACCTACCACCTTACATTTATAACAAGTTTCAACCTAAATGTATAAGAAAATAAAAATAAAGTAGGTACCAAACATGCCAATGCCCTAATGTCCAAAAGGCTGATGGGATACATGATATCTCCTAAGGAGAATATGCATATGATCATGTATGATGTCTATCAAATTGTGATTTCATTCTATTCAATAACACGCTGGTTGTCGGATTGTTAAACATGGTCATCTGGAAATATTGACATAGAAAATTTGTCGTTTGTGTCAGCTAAAATAATTTAAAAAAGCATCTATGCATTCCAGATTCTGTAGTATATTCAAAAGCAGTCCCCAGGTTTTAAAAATGATGCTGTCAGGAACCGGATCTGAACCCAGGGCCTCTGCTGTAGCTGGCAGTGGTTCTACCGGCTGAGCCACCTTAGAACCATGGATAGCTCCTTGCCTGATCTCCTGTGTAATCCTCAATTAAACTTAGTTTCGGCTGAACTCTGAACTCCTTGCTCCTCCCTTGAACTTCCTATTTAAGTCATGCCTCTACACTTCCTGTTTGCCAGATTATTGTGCTCCTGCCAATATCTGGCTTCCTTGCTCCTCCTGAGGTACAATCTGCTCATACTGCTACCCCTGTACCGACCTTTGGCTGCTTATTCACCGACTACTCTCATTGTCTTCCACTTCATGCCTGATACCTTTGGCTTGATCTCTGACTACGCTTCTGCCTGCTCCTATACTACTACCATCTGCTTGTGTACTGAACTCGGCCTGTTTGACTACGACTTTGCCTGCTGTTTCAGCTACTGGACTCCGAGCCTGATCCAGATCGTGACAGATGCCTAATTTGCAAAGTATAACTGTAGGCCATGCACAGCCTCTTCCCAGCCTGTCTGTAAAACTTCTAGAGTGGGTGACCCTCCCACCAGTCGCTGGACGCACAACCCCATCAGCGCAAAAACAAGTGCTCTGGCTTGTTCAAACCCTGCACATGTACAGAGTGAGCTCTCTCCGTTTGTTGTACAATGCTAACCTCAGTTGCGGCCGCAACAGAGAGGGAGAGAGCACGCGGCACAAGTAGAGAGCACAAGCATTCCTGTGCATCCAACGACCGGCCTATCCTACCATTTAGGTAGCACAGAGAGGGTCGCGCTCACTGGAATTTTTACAGACAGGCTGGCTAGAGATCATGATGTGGTGATGTGATTACGTCAGCATTTCTCTCTGCACCAGTATACCTTTTGAATGAAGGATGCCACGGTGATGCCTCCTTATGGGTCAGTGTGACAATGAGGTCTGATGAACCCCAAAGTGAGAAAGGAAAAGGGGGATTTGAATATTGTGCCACCTTCATTTTCCTAAAATTTGCAAGTCAGTGACAAATCAAGTAGATCTTGTGTGTGGGGACAGGTGTCGTGAGATATATCTCATATGGCTCACACCAGAACACAGATCATCCTCAAGAACCTTCAAACACAAACAGGCATCATACATTTGCAGCTCAAGCTGGAAGGACAGAATCGATATAATGGATACTGTGAACTGTGCGTGTTTCCGTTAAAACATGTGGTGGCAGATACTCTTTACGTATGTAAAGGGTTAACCGTGGAGCTAACCGACCCCAATGACAATCACTCTCAGTCTGCTGGCATTTAGATTGTTCTCCTGCGAGCTGGAAAATGTCTGTGCGGGGTGAGGCTGAGAATGCTATCATTATATTCTGATGGTAGCAGTGGGTTTTAAGATTGTTGCTGTCCCAGGCAGGGCCATGACACCCTGGACATACAGTCGGTATCAGTCAGCCCGTCTTCTGAGTTAAGTGACCTCTTGTGGCAAAGAAGAGGTACTGTAGTTGCCAGATCCAGATTGAAGGTGAGTATTGCACCGTGAGCTCCTTTTATTTTATTACTGCCTGGGGGATTAGTTTAAGAGTTGGCCTCTAATGTGATTCTCTAACTAAAAAAGGCAACAAGGTGGCCAGTCATACAACAGTACACAGTCCTTATTCCCTGCATGAAGAATGTTGAATAAGAATGTATATAGTAATGGTGTGTAGTGATCTATTAAAGCCAATCACATATCAGCTCTCATCAGCTCAGAACTTCCAGAACATTGTAAAATCATGTTTGATAGGCAGCGATTGGTTATGGCATTTTGACCTTTATAAAGGTCAGTTAGCATTATGTTCCTTCCTATAACACAAAGCATCACAGCGAATGCCTGTGGCTTGTGGCAAGGGTGTAATCTATACTCTGTTAGTAATATTACCGTAAGCAGGTGATAGATACTGATCATGATACTTTACCCCTTAATGACCCTGCGCAATAATGTAAAATGCATGTGCATATATATTTAAAGTGAACCTTGTACTTTGCCCATACTAGGCTAAGGAAACAGGCGCCATGAAGTGACTGTACTTACATTTCATGTGCTCGCTTGACACTTCAATCCACCCTAAACTGGAGCTGAAGGTTGCTTTAAAGAATTTAGGAAGCTGCATGACGCTTGGTCAAAGCATTGCATTTTTGTTCCATACATACTGCTCTTAAATGAGCTAAAGTGTATACAAGTTCTTAAAACATCTTCCACTTCATGGATACCTGTATTTATACGTCTTTAATATAAAGGCTCCTGTATGTCTAAAGAAGTCACAAATCCAGTTACTATGCACAAGCCTCATAAAGTAAACAACATTTACCTTCCTCCTTCATTTGTGGCTCACACACTCCCCCTTCCAGACACTGCAGCTCACAGTGGGAGGATTTCAGCAACAGATGCAGGTCTGTCAATCCAGAAAGCGGTAGGCAGGACTAGGGGTAGCCAGGAGATGATTGACAAGCTACAGGCAAGGGTAGTTATTGTGTAGTCCCTGGAGCTAGGCTTTAAAGTAGTAGTAAACTATCAAACTTTTCTCAATTATGAATCCAGATCATACAAAATATATATCACCCAGCAAAGCAAAGTATTTCTTTACATATTTGCCGAAGCACTTAGTCATCATGTTTCCTAACAGCTGACTCCAACTCTCTCGGATCCACTTCCATGAACTTCCTGTCCAGTACAAGATCACAAAGGACAGCACAGTCTCCAGGACCTATCCATCTACTAGCTTTGAGAAGGGTGGACCCAATTCATCCTTTGCTATATATGAAGGCTCTCATAAATTAGAGTTAGGACCGCACTATACAGAGGGGCCTTGACCAGGCAATGCGGTTTCCACATGTTTTGCAAAAGTTGTGCAACTAAAATCTTTCTGGGATAAAATGTTTCTCTCGTGGGGGTCAGTGAGCAGTTATCTTATAGCTGGAGACTCCCAGAATGTCAAGGTTGAGATGTCAGCTATTGGCGGTGGACCATGTTGCCAGAAAGGAGGCACTTTTATCGGTGGGGGCCAACGGTGCCAGTAAGGAGACATTGGTATTGGAGGGGTTTCATGGTGCCACGAAGGAGACATTGGTATAAGTCGGGGGCCATGATGCAGGAAAGGAGACACTGGTATGGTTGGGAGGCCATGATGCAGGAACGGAGACACTGATATGGTTGGGAGGCCATGGTGTCAGGAAGGAGACAGTGGTGTAGTTGCGAGGCCATGGTGTCAGGAAGGAGACAGTGGTGTAGTTGCGAGGCCATGGTGTCAGGAAGGAGACACTGGCATGGTTGGGCAAAAGCAGAGACACCGGCACTCCAGGGTGAAAAACAAACGTCTATTTATTGACATGCAGCATAACAGGTATTGCAACAAACGTTTCGGGGGCGCACAGGATCCTCTTCCTCATGCTTCTGCCTGAGGAAGGGGATCCTGTGCGACCCCGAAACGTTAGTTGCAATACTTGTTATGCTGCACGTCAATAAATAGGCATTTGTTTTTCACCCTGGAGTGCCGGTGTGTCTGATTTTGCTCATATTTGTGACGCCTGCCATCCGTCGAATACCATAACACCCACTTCTCGAAAGGGATTTTGCGGTCAGGAGTGCAATGGGACCATGGACTTACTGGCATGGTTGGGAGGCCATGGTGTCGGGAAGGAGACATTGGTATGGTTGGGGAGCCACAGTGTCAGGAAGGAGTCATTGGTATGTTTGGGAGGCCAAGTTGTCAGGAAGGAGACATTGGTGTTGGTGGCTTCAGTGGATCACTTACTTGACCACTGTCTGTCTCCTTGCTCTGCTGGAACTATACTTCTACTGTCGGGCAGGAGGTCACTGTTTGAGACATAGCAGCCACATTGGACTGTTTTGCAATACTCATTTAAATTCAACTTCAAAATGAAGTTATTTCAACTGATAATCTGTTGTCACAATAATTTTCCTGCCTGCATGAAGAGTACTATTTTATTTTAGTTGAGACACATCTTTCCATAAAAAGGCTGTTGGGCTACGAAAACATGGCGGAATTGGCCCGCCCTTTGAACTATTGCTTTGTAGAGTAGGAGCATGCGCAGTGTGGTCACGATGGTCTGGCTTTAAGCCAATGGTTACAATGAGTAGGAGAGAGGCGTAGCAACAGCATAGGTGGATTTTCTTTTGAATGATCAAGCTGGTTAGACCCGTAGCCTTGTTTGTGAATGCTCAGGCTAGGTGGAGCTGTGCTATTGCGCTCAAGTTCGGTTGAGCTGAGGGATAGGGCGCATGCGCAGACAGGGAGGCTGCGTGAGTATGTAAAGAAAAAGGGATTTGGTTGCATCTTATTCGTAAGTTCCCTCCGCTTCCGGCACAGACATGGACCTGGACACTGTGCTGGGGAGAGTCCGCCCGGGGAACCAGGAGGAGACGGCATCAGCCCTGAAGGAGTACAATGACCAGGTAATGCCTGTGTGCAGCACTGTGTCTGTGATCACTGCCTGCACTGCACTGTATGCACACACTGTGTGACATCTTCTCCATCGCTGCCTGCACTGTATGTACACCCTGTGTGACATCTCCATCACTGCACTGTATGCACACACTGACATCTTCTCCATCACTGCCTGCACTGTATGTACACCCTGTGTGACATCTCCATCACTGCCTGCACTGCACTGTATGCACACACTGACATCTCCTCCATCACTGCCTGCACTGTATGTACACCCTGTGTGACATCTCCTCCATCACTGCCTGCACTGTATGTACACCCTGTGTGACATCTCCTCCATCACTGCCTGCACTGTATGTACACCCTGTGTGACATCTCCTCCTCCATCACTGCCTGCACTGTATGTGCACCCTGTGTGACATCTCCTCCTCCATCAATGCCTGCACTGTATGTACACTGTGACATCTCCTCCTCCATCACTGCCTGCACTGTATGTACACCCTGTGTGACATCTCCTCCATCACTGCCTGCACTGTATGTACACCCTGTGTGACATCTCCTCCATCACTGCCTGCACTGTATGTACACCCTGTGTGACATCTCCTCCATCACTGCCTGCACTGTATGTACACCCTGTGTGACATCTCCTCCTCCATCACTGCCTGCACTGTATGTGCACCCTGTGTGACATCTCCTCCTCCATCAATGCCTGCACTGTATGTACACTGTGACATCTCCTCCTCCATCACTGCCTGCACTGTATGTACACCCTGTGTGACATCTCCTCCATCACTGCCTGCACTGTATGTACACTGACATCTCCACCTCCATCACTGCCTGCACTGTATGTACACATGTCTTCCCCTTCTGTTATCTGCACTGTGCTGTCAGTGACTGTATGGTACACTGCTATGTGCACTGTGCTGTCAGTGGCTTTATGGTACACTGCTGTCTGCACTGTGCTGTCAGTGACTGTATGGTACACTGCTATCTGCACTGTGCTGTCAGTGGCTTTATGGTACACTGCTATCTGCACTGTGCTTTTAGTGGACAAGCCCCTTTACACACTATGATTGAGCTGTCATTTGTGTTACTGATTCAGACCTGAGGGGGCGGAGTCAGCACACACTGGTCCTCGTGTATTTTATTTGTATAGAACAGGGGTAGCCAAACTCCGGCCCTCCAGCTGTGGTGGAACTACAAATCCCTTGAGGCATTGCAAGATTCTCAGCCACAGACATGACTCCCGGAGAGAGATGCATCATGGGATTTGTAGTTTCACCACAGCTGGAGGGCCGGAGTTTGGCTACCCCTGGTATAGAAGAGTATGACCCATCCCCGGAGTCACATGATCTGTAAATCACAGACTATGATAACCTGACATTGGATTGTGTTATGTGGCCTGTTTGTTGTGGATCCAAGTCATGCTCAGTGGAGTCCTCCTGTGACCAGGTCACATTACGGTACAACATTTCTGTGCCATTCCCCTGCTTGCTTTATAATCTGCTCAGTGAGGAAAGTCTGTTCATGTTGATTGTGTGCAGCACTGTAGGATGACTTAGAGTGACGTCATTGCCAAAACAAACCTCACACAAAGGAGATGCATTACCTCCCCATCGGCCATGCCTCCTGTCCTCACTCTCCTCAACAACTACTCTGGGTAAGGAATCTTTATCACTGAACACCCTTCAGGTCTGTCAGATGCCAGGTCCCCCTTTACATATTGTAGTTCTAGCCGCCGCCCCTTATGTCAGTACAGGATGCAATGGTGACACAGCGGCTGGCAGACGTGTGCCAAGGAAAGGGGCAGCGGCTTTTGTCATAATGTGAATTACTTGGACAATATGACAGACTTGCTTCTGGGATTTCCCACCTTTTTAGATCCGATACCGCGGCTGCCATCACCCGGCCTGGCATCTTCTCTATACAGCGATTGGACAGCCAGTCAGAGACCTGAGGAAGGGAATCCTGCGTGACCCCGAAACATTTGTTGCATTGGTGTGACATGCTGCACCTCCGTCTATAAATAGACGTTTTTGAATTGCAACTGGAGTGCCGCTGTCCCTGTTTCTGCTTATGCATGTAACGGTTGCCATCCGTTGACCACCGCAGCACCCATCTTGTTTTTTTGTGGAACAAGCGGTTAGGAGTGCGATGGGTTCATGGACTTCCATGATTTAAGTATGACGTACGCATACTTACATTGGACCAAGCTGGACACATGTGGGTGTACATAATCATTTATAGCTGGAGTTCAGCTTTAAATATTTAATGTTCTGCTATGTGAATGGGAACATGTAACAAGTATAAGGCCTCGTTCACACCAGATACAGTGCGTTCCGGCCCCATTCTGGCCAGAACGCACTGCCTCTCATTGCGGCTGGCTCACTTTTTTTTGTGTGGCAGCAGGGGCGTGGCGGTTCATTGAAATGAATGGCACCGTGGCCACGCCCTCCGGCCGCAATGTGATCGGCCACATGGGATCGCAAGGCACATTATGCCTACGCTCCGATCAAAATAGTGCTTGCAGTATTTTGTTTGGACCGGGCGTGGCTATGGTGCCATTTAAATGGACCGCCCCCTCTGGCCCCACAACAAAGCGAGCCGGTCGCAATGCGAGACAGTGAGTTCTGGCCAGAATCAGGCCAGAACGCACTGCATGTGGTGTGAGGCTAGGTTCACACCTAGGCGACCCCTGCAAGATTGCCGCGCGGTCAGGAGTCGCCAAGGTGTGAACCAATCTCGCTGTGGGTGCCATTATTTTCTAATGGCACCCCAGTCGCATCGCACGGATTCCCACTGCGATTCCCAACACGATCGCAGCTAAAACAGCCGCTCGTCATATATCGCAAAAAAAAGGTACGCGTCACCCCATTGAAATTAATGGGGCCGCGCGGCAATAGCTGCCTGTATTGTGCAGGTCCGCACGATCCCGGGAACCGCGTCCTGGGTGTCGTGCAGGTGTGAACCTAGCCCCAACGAGGCCTAAAGAAGGTGTTATTGCAATTTGGCTGCAAAGGTATAAAAACATATTAGGTGTCATCAAGTCAGTAAAAAAAAAAAAAGAATTGATGGGAGAGCACGTCTGTAAACATGTCAATAAAACACAAAATGTGTGTAAAGGTTTTCTTCACCTTGGAAGTTGGCGGTTTTATTTTGTATGTGTGTCTTGTAGTGTGCAGCCTGAGCTCGCTCCTGCCGGCAGATTCACCAGTTGGCTTGTTGAGAGCAGTCCAATAGGAACGTTCCTGGGTCTAAGTATCGGTAATTACAATGCAGGCAGAACATTTCTCTAGACTTGAATTCTTTATTTCAGGATCATGTCACTTTAATTTTCTTATAAAGGGCTGAGGGAGCTCTGATACCCGAGGTGTTCTGGTCATTTTTTTACTGTGGTGAGAGCCTGGCCCCACCACCCTCGCACAACAATATTGAGCTATGATTGAGATGACCAAATAGTGAAATGCCTCTGAGTAAAGCATTGGTGCGATACCATAGTATACACAAACACTTCGGGTCCATTCACACCGGATCCAGTGCATTGCGATCCGTTGAGTTCCGACCAGTTTTTCAACAGATGGTAATGGTAGGGCAGCGAACAAATGAATGGGTGTGACTGGATCTAGTCCACACCGCTCTGTTTCGTTGTAGTAGAGCATGCACCATTTTTATTTTCTGCGCAATATAACGCAACAGATCTAGTGTAAACTAGCCCCATTCACACCCATTCATTTTTTTGGGGCCCTTCCGTTAGCATCCATTAAAAAACGGATCTGAAGGGCATTTAAAGGCAAAATTGCAAGTCAATGATCCCTCCATTGACTTGTGATTTCCTTCCGATTTTGGTGTGTACAGGCCCAAACATTTACAGGGTTATCCACAAAAGAGTGAAGAGTTTGGAGAAGGCAGGAGAAGTGAACAATCTAGGACAACATAGCTGAACTGGAAAGTGAGCTGTATTGGAGAATTTTTCCAAATCCTCTATGTTGTCCTAGATTGTTCACTTCTCCTGCCTTCAACAAACTCTTCACCCTTTTGTGGATAACCCTGTTAGCTTTCTTACTGAGTGTCTTGGAAGTTTGGTGTAAGGGGGATTATGATGTGGGGGGTTCAGGGGTTTGGATTGTCCCCTTAGTTCCAGTGAAGGGCACTCTTAAGGCATCAGCATACCAAGACATTTTGGACAATTTCATGCTCCCAACTTTGTAAGAACAGTTTGGGGATGGCCCCTTCCTGTTCCAACATGACTGCGCACCAGTGCACAAAGCAAGGTCCATAAAAACATAGGTAAGCGAGTTTGGGGTGGAGGAACTTTACTGGCCTGCACAGAGTCCTGACCTCAACCTGATGGAACACCTTTGGGATGAATTAGAGCGGAGACTGCGAGCCAGGCCTTCTCGTCCAATATCAGTACCTGACCTCACAAATGCGCTTCTGGAAGAATGGTCAAACATTCCCATAGACACACTCCTGAACCTTGTAGACAGTCTTCCCAGAAGAGTTGAAGCTGTTATAGTGGCAAAGGGTGGGGCAACTCAATATTGAACCCTACGGACTAAGACTGGGATGCCATTGAAGTTCGTGTGTGTAAAGTCAGACTTTCCAATACTTTTGGCAATATAACTGTAATGTCTTCCTTATATTGTAAAGCGCTGCGCAAACTGTTGGCGCTATATAAATACTATGTAATAATAATAATAGTGTAGCTTAAATTTCAGTCAATTCCTGTTGACTCAGCCAATAGCAATAGGTGGCCCAGTCGGCACCACACAGCTCAATGAAAGTCGACTGGGCTGGGTAAAAAATGTTGGACCACACAGTGACTTCATCCTATTGGGTGCTGTGGCTGCTTGAATACAGTAGCTGGTAGAGCAGTTTCCTCCATCCATGCCCAGAAGATTCAAGTGATTTTCTCTAGGATAAAGCAGTGCATGTAGAACAATGGTTGGAGATTGCTGCTCTTATGCAGAGAGCCTCTGTCCCATTCTCTGATTCCTGCTCAGCCACAGACTTTACAGCAGCTGCTGGAGATTGTTAACAAAATAACATTTGCTTAATAAAGTATTTTTACCTCAAGTCGAACTATTGACGTTCCCCGGAAGGCTCAGTTAGCTTTAAAGGATAAGTTCACCTTTTGCAAAAATTAAAGAAATGCATAAATAATATATTTTAAAAATATGTATTTCTTTAATATTTGCATTCAAGCCTGGAAAGCATTGCAATAGTGATCACTCGATCAGAGCCGCAAAGCTCGGACTTCTGCACATTCTCTCCCAGGCAGAGCTCATACTGAGGTGCAGAGTTTCAGTTAGGAGAGATGCGGAAGGACAGCTGGACTTCAAACTGCATTAAATCGCCTCATACAGCGTCCAGCCGTCCTCCCTCTAGTAGAGCTGCCCATATTCCCGCATCTACCTAGGAGGACGGCTGGACGCTGTATGAGGTGATTTAATGCAGTTTGAAGTCAAGCTGTTTTTCCCCATCTCTCCTAACTGAAACGCAGTACCTCAGTACGAGCTCTGCCTGGGAGAGAATGTGCAGAGGCCTGAGCTTTGCATCTGTCATCGAGTGATCACTATTGCAATGTTTTCCAGGCTGGATTGCAAATATTAAAGAAATACATATTTTTAAAATATTAATTATGCATTTCTAAAATTTTTGCAAAAAAGACAGGTCCTGCATAGCTGAAAGGCATTTCCCTAACCCCCAATAGCCATTTAAAGCCCATCGCACCCAACCAAATCCCTATAATCACCTTCCTCCAATCTATTTAGCTAAATGATGACATTTTGGTGACATGTTTCTGATTTTTGCCAAAATTTTGGTACACCGAAAATTCCCAGTTTCCCTCATCCCTACCAAAGATATATTTTGAGGCCCAAAAAAGTACTTTTATATCCCTTACATGCTTGGCTCTTAGGGTTTAGCCTAGCACCTTGGTATAACACCCCATTCACACTTGCGATTGGGTCAGTCTCATGAGTCTTAAGGTCCCCACACACCTTACGATAATCGCGGGAAATCCCGCGATCGCATGATTATCGTAAGGTATGTGGAAGCCGTGCGACCTCTACTACTGTAAGTAAATAAAAGTAATTCACCGGCACACACTTGAAGGGTTTTTAAAGTATTGATATGTTTATTCAATACCCAATGTCACATACTGTCATACAGTGCTAACGTATCGGGTCCGCACAGGGATCCTTCATCAGAGTGACAGTGGTTGGGTGCTGAGGAAGGATCCCTGTGCGGACCCGAAACGTTAGCACTGTATGACAGTGCTCCATGAGACTTCTGGGATCTTCTGCAGATGGGAGGTGCTGTATAATCCAATGATAGCTACCACCTCCCGAACTCTTCACATGCCATTCGCATATGGTCACATGTACCTGCGGCCGATTGCACCTGGATGCAGACTGCTTGGATCTAAGTGCAATCATCTGCAGGTAATTGCAGTATGTGCGATGACGTGAACAGCTGCAGGCAGTGGTATCTGTCATTGTGTTGTATAGCGTCTCCCACCTGCAGCACATCGCATGAATCTCATGAAGGAATTCCTGACACTTGTGTGATCGGCCCCATTCGCTTAGAGGAGGGGTGAACACATGAATATGGAATTCAGAAGCCAGGTTTTCTAATCCAGGAGCCAGCAGAATTTTTTTTACCTGTCCGCTCCATTGAGAAAAACTAGAGAAAACCTCAAAAGTTAGCTGCCAGCATTAAATTGTTAAGGAGCACTGGCACCTGGGATTCGTCCAGGCCTGGCTTAGGCTGGGCACACACCTTACAACCATCGCAAGACTTCTGTCTTGCGATGGTTGTAAGGTACTTAAAAAAACGTACGATCTGCCTATGTTGCATAGGCAGATCGTACTTGCAATGATCGCAAGCCACGCCCCCTGAGGCAATGCCGAACGGGCAGTGTGCGCTTGCGCACACCGGCCCGTGCGGCTGTTATCGTACGGATATGCCACAAACCCGCCGAACATCGTACGATGCTCGGCGGGTTTTCGAACATGTCCGTAAGTTTAAAGTCGTGCGACCGTACAGTAGTAGAGGTCGTACGGCTTCCACACACCTTACGATCTCGGGATTTCCCGCGATTCTCGTACGATAATCGTAAGGTGTGTGGGGACCCTTAGAGCCATGCCCATATCAGCTCTTTAGTAATCCCTAGATAGCAGCTGTAAAATGTCTGTATACAACTCCATTTTACCTTCAGGTGTTTGATATCCATGATCTCTGCTTATAACATCATTCCACCTTTCCAGCCAATGATTATGGCGTCACTGTATCTGTGCAAACTCTAATAATAAGAAAGCCCAGCACTACCTGCATACATTCTTCTCAGTCATTCTACAGTGCGTGCAACCTGATTTCTCCTGCACTCGGAGAAAGATCCCCGTTCTGCTTATAACCACCTGCTGCCTGTAAGTTATAAAAATATGTATTTATATGGCAGTCACATTATCATCTATGTAGAACCCCCTTTTACTACCTTTTTAAAGATGTCAAAGTTGATCAATTTAGACAAAGAATCTGTTTAGTTTTACACTGAGCTGTGAGTGTCTTAACATGACACCATCAGGGCATATACTGTACGTGTACTGGTATTGTTTACTGGAAAACATGACCCGCACAATGTTTGGTTGCCTATATAAACTTCATCTTCAGGGAAATCATTAGAAAGGCACGTCAATGGTGCTTTGCATACAGGAAGTGTTTGATCTGTGCTTAGTGACGTACATTGTGATCTTTGCAAGCCTTGGCCAAGCTGTGAGGCTCTGCGTGAGGCATATGGGCAGACCTCAGACTTTCTCCTCTTAGGTTCTGTTTCTCCATATACGTATACAGAGTGTTGCTGTTTGATAAAGGGTTTTATTTGGGTGCACTGCAATAAACAACAAAATTGGCAGAATTAGAGGATCCACGTTACAGAGATAGTAGCGGCTTAATATTGTATTATTTGGTCTAAAGAGAACCAGTCATAGCAGGAATTGAATATTCAATCTTAAATCTGAACTCTGGACAAGCAGCTAAACACACTAGCTTCCTTAGTTAGGTCATGTTCAACCACCTCAGCCTCTGACTGGACAGTAAAGAAGCATCATCAGGCTGAAATGGTCATCTCTCTGGTCTTTCCTACTGTCGCCATGTTTCTTGTCAGCAGATATGCATGCAGCGCACTTAATTAAGTCCCACCACTCTCCATGTCTGTGTGCTGCCATACAGGGCTTTGTAAGATGTGAAGTCAAATCCCTAAACGTAATGCTTAACCTCCCTGGCGGTCTGATTTAATTTAGTTTTTCTGGTTTTTTTACCTCGTTAACTTTACTGTTAAAATTCCTGCCGGTTCTGCCCCCTTGCGACGCGGACGCTCGCAAGGGACGGAAGACGGATGCCGGCATCAACCGGAGGACACAGCACGGCTCGCGGGACAAGTAAGTAACACTATGCTGTAATCCCAAGTGTGGCTCGGGGTTACCGCTTATGGTACTGAAAATTAACCCAGAGCCACCCTCGGGATTACCGCCAAGGAGGACTTGTTCAAAAATGCATCCAATGTATTCCAATGGTATTTTGGGCTCCAGTTCACACCACAGCGTTCAGTTCCAGTGCATGTGGAAAACCTGCAGGAGTCGCTATTTTTTTTCTGCTTTGGAACATGCCAAAACATATGCAAGCGCTCTGGAATGCACTGGATCACACCTGAAAGCCCATTTTAGGCTTAAAAAAAAAAAAGGACCGGAACGTGTCAAAACGCACTGCACTGCAAATGCAGAAACTCATCCAGATCTGGTCCGGATTTGGTGTGAACAAGCCCTAACTGAAACCAGTAAATCACAGCAATAGTTTGTATTTGTTTATGAAGAACTGTGATACAAGTGGCAGAAACTGATTGGAAATCTAAAAATATAGTTGTCACCGGAAGAGTGGACATTTTCCAGTGGGGATGGCTGTTCTGGGCACCCAGGTCAAAAATGTCATAGGTTTTAAAAGATACCACACACAAAAATGTGGGCTTCCCCTTCACATTGAAGTGCCCCCTTCAAATCAAAATCCCCCCTTCACATCAGAGTCACCCACATTCACATCAGAAGCCCCTCTTTCATATCAAAGTGTCCCCCCCACATCAAAGTGCCCCCTTTACACCAGTCTTCGTTCACCATTCATATCACAGTCCCACTACCACAAATTTTTGAGGCACCCCCGATGAGGCCAGAAGATACACCAGTGTGCCACACTCTGGTTGAGAAAGGCTGCTCTAAATCTATTTTGTGAGTGGTCATGTGACTGGAAGTTCAGGGAAGCATTGCTAAGCGAGTAGGGACCAGTGACTTTTATTACAACATATTGTGATTGGGGACATATTTTAAATAAATAATGTGCACATTTCCGTGTTGGATATGAATCCTTTTAATTTGAAAAAGAGGAGGGTTTAGTTTAGTACTACTTCAGCTCTTGGGTGGCATGGTAGAATATGAGAACATGTCTGATCAGTATAGACTCACAGACCACCCACACACTACAGGTAAGCTACTATAGAAAGGCAGTGCAGGGTGACCGGCTGGCCCCATCTGCTCCTTTTAGGTGACTGTCGAGAACAGGACGCTTCGTTTTCTTAGGATTTATAGAACGTTATGCACTTCAGCTTTTCTTTAGTTTTGCTAACAGGGCGTCTGTTTTTCTTTTTTTCTTGATAGAATCGATCTTTGTTCCAGTTTGACCCGACTGATGAAGAGAAAAGAAAGGCAAGTATGGCTAATGTAATTGTAGCACACAAAAGGCAAAAAAAAGCCTATTGAAAGATATAAAATTACAGAACTAGCTTTTGCTGCAAAATTCTTCTTTAATCCACAGATCCGCCCCCCCAAACGGTATTTTTTTTTTTTTAAGCTAGACATCCTCAATCTGATAGCCAACATCATTCAAGACACTTTCTCCGAGCCTAGGTCTACATGGGCTCAGAGTATGTGGGTTGAATGATGCTAGCAATCAGACTGAGGACCTCTAATGACAGGAAAAAAAGGACTGTTTGGGAATTCTCTGTGAATGGACAATGAAAGGAGAAGCAGCACAGTGATGAGCTCATCTCTCTGTCACTTTGCTCTCTCTTCCCATCAACATGCTTTTTGTCAGCACATTAACTAATTGCCTTTCACATTCCAGTGCTGCTGTACAGGGACATATTAAGGTACTGCTTGCATGTAAAAAATAAATGTAATGATGTATTACTGAATACAGAGCTACATACTGTATATATCTATGAACAAATGAACAGGTTTTACAGCCAGGCACACTCGTATTAATGCTCAAAAGGTTGTCTTCTGTTTCTGGTGTGAATTTGGTTCTGCCTGACTAGTTCTTGTCAGTTTCCTCCAGTTTCCAAGCACAATTCGATGTTGTGTGAAACTGTACTTACTGAAACATTGGCTTTTTTGCCATTTCTTAAGTAAATACCTACACTTTTAAGGGTTATTGTGGTCTTTCTGTCACCCTTTGTTAACTGCAGTTTTGTACTAATTATTATGAGAGCAATATACTAAGGCCCCATCCAGGGCCGGATTTCCCACAAGGCCAACCAAGGCCTGGCCTCGGGGCAACAGGGAGTATAGGGGCAGCAGGGGTGTGGAATTCCTATCTCCCGATGCCCGGGACGTGAAGTTCTGGGTTCCGGGCGGGTAGTTGTTTTCTACATTTAGCCCTGCTTTGGGAAAGCAGAGCTAAATGTACAGTGGGGAAGCCACCGCTTGTTTTGTACAAGTGATCTTGCGATGTCGCCAAGATCACTTGTATGCAGCCTGCAGGTCTGCCATTCTCCATGGGGGGGGGGGCTCCCGGGTAGGGGGGCGCATTGAGGAACCTGGCCTCGGGGGCAGCAGCGAGAGTAAAATCGGCCCTGGCCCCTGATCGTGAGGGGATCCATGCACGGAAATCTGTGTATAAATGGACTCCCGTGTTTTAAACCCGGCTGCACATAGACTAGCATTGGGCATCTGATCGGGTCCAGCCAAATATTGCTTCAGAACGTGTAGAAACGCAGTTCATTCCAACACTGCTGTTTTACAGATTGAGGGTTTGTAAGTAGTCAACAAGGGACCTGGAACACCTATAAGAATTGTTTGCATCTTTCAAGGCTCCATACTTCCATTGCTGTAGAAAAGTTGTTAATACTTTACCTGTTCCCTTGTTAATGTTAAACATTGCAAAAAGTACCCGGTACACTTTTCAGTACTTCTTAGGCACGATTTCCTAAATGTTCCCTATAACATGGCAAATCTTCACATTTTGACGTCCACCTTAACAAAGATGGGAGAGCTGCATGAACTGATGTTCTGAGACAAAAAATGCATCATGCTTTGAGGGCCGGTTCACAGCAGCTCTGGTGCGTTCCAGCACGATTCACTGCTGGGGTGCACTGGAGCGCATCACGGCCAGCTTCCTGCATTCAGGGGTAGGACGGGGTGTGGCGGTGCATTGAAGTCAATGGCACCGCAGCCACACCCCCAGCCTGCAGTGCGATCTGAAGCATTTTATCAGATTGCACTGGACCGGAACACAGGCACTGATGGGTTGAAAATCTCACTATTGGCAGATTGCGGTAATGGGCCAGTAGTGTGACTTGGCTAACAGGAAGGGGTGATGCCAGACTGCCACTTTATTATGTTGATTTTCTTTTTGTTTTCTTCTACAGAAACTGTGTAATGTTCTGTTTCAAGTACTGGAGAAAGGAACAAGTACTTCCTGTCAGATTGTCTGTTTGGAGGCTCTCCGAATCCTCTCCAGGGATAAAAAGGTGTTGGCGCCGGTGATCACAAGAGAGAACATGAAGATCCTCATGAAATTAGCAAAACTGGATCTTCAACTGAAATCTCTGGGTGACTCTGCAAGCTTTCCAGTTACTGTGGAGTCACTGAAGTGCTTGTGTAATATTGTGTTTAACAGTCCCGAGGCGCAGAAGCTGAGCCTGGAACTGAACATGGCTGCTGGGCTTTGCCACCTCTTGAAGATATGCACGGGTGGGCGTACTGTCAATGACATTCGCTGCTTTGATCTGAGACTGCTCTTTCTCTTAACCCTGCTGCACACGGAGATCAGGTCTCAGCTGAAAAAGGAACTGCAAGGATTCCTGCTGCTGACAAACACCCTAGAGAGCATTCTGAGTATTCACTGGGTGGGGAAGTACCAGGCTGCTGTTAAGGTTGGCAGCCCACAGCTGGCTGTGCAAGAGACGGACTGCACCATAGAGGCTCTAAAGGCTCTTTTTAATGTGACGCTGGACAGCTGGAATGTCCACAGCGAGGTAAGATGCCTAATATTTTGCTTACAATCTTCATCCATATAATAAGTGGGCTTAAACTGACAATGTCTCTTAACTACCTCCGGGCCGGCTGTAGTAAAAAAACTCTCTAGATCTGAGCGGGCGTCTTTAGACATCCGCTCAGATTTTTGCTAATGAGGGGAGGAGTTGCTGATAAAACTTATTAATTGGCAGATTGAAGCTGAACTTAACTAAACACACAGGTGAAATGCACACGTGGACAAATATATTGGTCATGGAAACAATAGTGATTATATAATATGATATATACTGATATGTCAGTTAGTATATTAGTGATACACATGGACACTAAGGGGGAGAGTTGTGGAGTGGAAATATATATTTGTGTGTCATCGGCATAGAGATGGTATTGGAAGCCATGTGAGGTGATGAACTGACCAAGGGAGGAGGTGTAGATAGAGAAGAGAAGGGGTCCAAGGACAGAACCTTGGGGGACCCCATTAGAAAGGGGAAGAGAAGGAGAGGAGTTAGATTTGTAGGTGACACTAAAGGAGCGCTTAGATAGGTAAGAGTAGAACCATGAGAGAGTAGAGTCTTGTAGGCCAAGTGAGTGGAGTTTTTTGAGGAGCAGCTGGTGGTCAACTGTGCCAAAAGCATCAGCAAGGTCTAATAGCAAGAGTAAGGAGTAGTGGCCATTGTTTTTAGCAGTTAGTAAGTCATTAGTGAGTTAAAAGTAGAAAAGAGTTGACGAGGTTTGGATGAGAGTGTGTTAATGAGAGTGACAAAATAAGTCAGTTTGACAGCACGGAGGGAGGAATTATATTTTAGGAGAGCAGCTTTATATAGTGTGACGCCTTGTAGAGACCTAGTTTTACCCCACACTCGTTCCAGAGCGCGGTTATGTCTTTTTCAGATTTCTGGTCTGTTTGAAGGGTGAGTGAAAGGGTGGTATGTCATAGACTGAAGCAAAGAAAGTGTGAAAATACATTAATGATTGCTTACTCTACAGAAGATATTCTAAAATGGAAAGGACACATTTGTTGGTACCCCTGGAAAAGATTATGAATAATTGGATCATTGGTGATGTTTCAAAGTAGCTGTATTCTCTAGTATCACACATATCTTCAATCTTGTAATCAGTAAGTCAGGCTGTTTAAATGGAGCAAAGTAGTCACTCTGCTGTTTGGTATCATCGCGTGCACCACACTGAACATGGACCAGAGAAAGCAAAGGAGAGAGTTGTCTGAGATCAGAAATAAAATTACAGACAAGCATGTCAAAGTTAATGGCTTTAGGACAATCTCCAAGTAGCTTGATTTCCTGTGACTACAGTTGCAAATATTATTAAGAAGTTGAAGGTTCCTGGGGGTGTAGCCAATCTCCATGGACATGGCCACAAGAGGAAAGTCCATTTCAGATTGAACACAAGAATAGCGGGGATGGTAGTCAAATAGACAAGGAAAACTTCCAGAGAGATACAAATTGAACTCGTGTCTGATCACACATTCCATTTCTTTTTTGAGTGACAGAAAGGCTCAAAGGAAGAAGACCCAGGAGGACTCCACTGTTGAATGAAAAACATAAAACGGGCAGAATGGAATCTGCTACAATGCATATTGATAAGTCCTTTGGACTGATGAGACATAACAGGAGCTTTTTGGCAAGTCACATCAGCTCTGTTCACAGATGACAAAAAAATATTTCAAAGAAAAAAACTTCCTACCTACTGTGAAACATGGAGGAGGTTTGGTTATGTTTTGGGCAGCTTTGCTGCATCTGGCATGGAGTGCCTTGAATACGAGCAGGACACAATTAAATCTTAAGACTATCAAGTGGTTCTAGGGCAAAACCTACAGCCCAGTGTTGGAAAGCTTTGTCTCAGTCTCCCAGTCTCAGATCATGGGTCCTTCAACAGGGTAATGATCCAAAACGCACAGCTAAAAGGTCGGTGAAGGTTCTCATTCATCCAAGTCATGGTATATCTGTATAAAATAAATCAAGGCAACTGGACTTGCTGTAGTTTTTTTGGAGACATTCCGCTGGTCATCCAACTAGCTTTCTCAATTCAAAAATGGAGATCAATTTTTTTTTAATTGAGAAAGCTAGTTGGATGACCAGCAAAACGTCTTCAAGAAAAATAAGTCCAGATGCCTTGATTTATTTTTAAGAACAAAACTTTGGACTATTCTGAAGTGTCCTTCTATGAGCCCTGATGCAAATCCTATTGAACATCTACATGTTCAATAGGATTTGACACATTCAGTGTGAAGAAGGCACCCTTCAAACCTGGGACAGCTGGTGCAGTTTTCTCAAGAAGAAAGGGCCATATTTCCTGTTGGCATGTGCAAAGGTCCCATTGAGAGCTACGTAAATCACTTGTTTGCAGTGATTGCCTCAAGACTTTTGGGTCAAGGGTCCCATCATTTTTTTTCATGGATATGTTTTTATTAATATTTTGTTGAATCGAAAGCAAAGTCGGGTTTTTGAAATATGGAATAAACCATGGAAGCCAATTACTTTTATTAGATTCAAGTTATTTCAGAATAAATTGAGGGTTTCTTTATTTGTGGTAGGGTATCAACAAATTATGTCCATGGCTGTACATATATGGGAGCTGTTTACCTGCTAAAGGATTTGTACTGCTGTTCATCAAGTGAGATTTACACAGCTCCACCTCACAGCACAAAGGCCTGAGTTTTGTCTGCTGCAGATGAGTAATGCTTGCGAATTTTGTCCCTCACCTCAGTCATTGACTGGACAGTGAAAGGAGTAGCAGCAGACTAATGTGCTTATCTCTCTGCTTTCTTCTCCTATTGGCATGTTCCTTGTTATCAATGTCTTGCTTTTATCTCTCCCCCAGCTCTGCTGTACAGGGGGCTGAACGAGGGTGATACCGGGTCAAATAATTGTACTGACACTGTCTGCATTTGAAAAGAAAATGTGTGATGTATTAATGAGTGCAAAGCTTCATTTGTAACTTTAATATCAGCCTGGAGTTCATCTTAAATTTCCCGGTTGAGGGATGGGGTTAGTTGGAGGCAACGTTTCGCATTCATTTTCTATTATCTTAACTTCCTTGTGATGCTAAATACACATGTACACAGTGAGGGAAAAATCCATAATGACGCAAAGCACCCTGCAGGAAATTGGAAGTGAATGTACTGCTTTCATGTTCATTGTGTATTGTTATATAATGTTAGTGTGATGTAAAAACTGATTACACTGAAGGATGAAGCTCCGTACAATCTACAGAATGCAGAGCCCTCTCCACTCCAAGAGATAGATGATAAACAATGGGGAAAGGAAGGGGGTTTGTCTTGTACACGTAGCATGGAATTTACTATGAGAATAGACTGATGTCATTTATAATGGTCAGTACATTAAAGGAGAACTATGAGGTGAGTGAAAATCACTCAACCTCATAGTTCTAGCCGACCTATGACAATGAAACTGTCACAAGTCGGCTCAATAGATTGGGAAGTGACCGAACACATACCGTCGCTCGCTCACTTCTCGATCCTGTTCCGGCAGAGAGTTGTGACTGTCACTCAAGGCTCTCTGCAGGGATTCCCCCCTCCCCTGTCTGATTAGGGTCCGCTGACTGGCGGAACGGACGGGGGGAGGGGGCTGGTACAGCTGGCTCTGTCTCTAGATAGGCAGAGCCAGCTGTCAATCACGCAGCTGGGTGGATCTCAACAGTAATGTCAGGATGTGTCCCGGCTGCGGCGTCTCAGTATACCGCAAGCTGTAGCTCGCGATATACTGAGCTTTGGGTGACGGGAGGACGCTAGTTTGTGTCCTCCCGTTACCGTTAGGAGAACTGTGGGAAAAAGCCCTAACCCCATAGTTCTCCTTTTAAAGGAGAGACAAATGCATGAGGGGCCCTCTGGGCTCTTGCTGTAATGTGCAGGTACGCAAAGCATATTGATACATTATGGCACACGCGCCTGCCAAAGTGCCCTCCACCAGCGATTGTCCATACTCTTCCTCGGCGTTCTGTCACCGCCACCGACATTTTTTTTGTTGTTCCCGTCTTACTCCGGGTCCGGAATTTTCATCCTAATTGGCTCGCCCTTGATGACGTAAATGTGTGCTTGCACATGATGGTTATTTTGTCCCGGTACCCATGGCATGCTGAGATTGTACACTAAGCTGCACATGTGCGGTGAATTGTCTAGGAAATGCGGTAGAAGTCTAGGAAATGGCCTTGTGGGCCGGATTCGGCCCCTGGGGCTTGAGTTTGACACGTGCTGTAGAGAAACACATTTTGAAAAAAGGTAAATATGTTTGCACCGTTTTCTTTGATACTGGTTTTATGCAGGAAAGGTTTAATTTCATGGCCAGAGGCCACTGAAGTCTTCCTGTAATATTTTCATCGTTCAGCCCATGGGCTGAACAATTTAAGATCTAAGAGATCCCTCCATCAGTGCTTATGAGTGTTTATCAAGGAATCTCCCGCTGTTTGCATTGTATTCTGATAACGGCCACTAGCTGCTGTCGGAATATCTGAACAGAGCCAGCAGCTCATTGGCTGCTGGTTCTGTTGGTTCGAAGTTTTCCCCACCAGCTTCTTCAATCAGCTGATGGAGGGATGTCGGCCGCAAGGGTGCCAACAGTGGCACCCACTGTGTGAATTAATCGAATTCAAGAACCAGACAAAATTTGCATAGTGTACGGCCAGCTTTAAAGTCATATTAAAGCTTCATGTTTAATTTTTTAGAAATCGTGTGGTGTGTTTTTTTTTTTTAATGTTGAATTCCTCCTTCTCTAGTGGCTCCCCGCAACGCTCTCCTCCCGTCCCCTGCGCGAGTGCCTCCATCAGCTAAAGTTGAGCTATGAATGCACCCTGCCTGCTTGTGCCAAGCTGTGCCGGCAAGTGGCTGTGTGTCCCCATAAACACACACAGCACTGCGGCAGGCCACATCCCTCCTCTACGCCCAACAGGTTGATTGATGGCAGAAGGAGCCTATGGCTACTCTGCCCTCAATCGCCTCCACCACAACCAGGAAGTTCGAAACGGAAGATAATTGCTGCCGGCGCCCAGCGAGGAGGCGAGAGCCGTTAGGATGCCAAGCGGGGCAATGCGGGAGAGCTGGGCTCCTGTGATTGGCGAAGCACTCAGGATTGAAAGTGGAGCACAAGCACTCAGCGTTCATTGCTGATCGATGAGTGTTTGTAAATAACTGAGGCCATAGTAAGCTTACTATGTCACTACTTATGAATGAACAGGAAATGTTTATGAATGGGGACATAGTAAATATTTATATCTGCTCACTTTATGAATGAACAGGAAGCAGCTCAGTACAGAGGCTTCCTGTCCATTCATGGCTGGGTTGATAGTAAATATTTACTATGTCCAGATTATGAATGAACAGGAGGCCTCTGTACTGAGAGCTTCCTATTCATTGAGTGCTTGGGCTGCAGAAAAAGAGACTGAGGACTCTGTTTCTTCAATGTTTTTTTTTCTATTTTAAAAGTCCCTAACAGTAAAGTAAAAAATAAATTTAAAAAAACGTTGGAAAAAGTCATTTTTGGTTTCGGCCTGACAAATTTGTTAGTTTCGGTCTAAAAATGTTATTTCAGTGCATCCTTAATGTCACACATGTGATTTACATGGCACTTCCTGTCAGTATAGAGACCAGGACAGAGCTGATTCAGTTGTGCTAACAATCTGTGCATATGTTACAAGTGTAATAAATACCATTTTTCTCTTCTTTTTTTTCTTCCTTTTTGTTTTTTTTTCTGTATTTTTCCTTCCCCCCACCTTTGCCCTCTCCATGCTATTTCCCCCTTTTTCCTCAGATACCTTAACATCCCCTCTGCCATTCCCCGACACCCAGATCCCATTCTCTCCCTTCCCCCTTGTCCTTTCCTCCTCCCATCCCCTTACCTAACATACTGCATAACCCCAAACCCATGAGTATGCTGACTTTCTTTTCCACACCTGGCTATACACTGGTAGATTTTGGAATAAACTTTAATAGAAAAAATCTTGGGAGAACATTCGATAATGCCATCAGAGCCTTGATCAATGTCATTCGAAATTTTGTTTGATTTTATCATTTGATTTTGGAATGAATGGAGTTAAATTGACCCCATTGACTGTTAAAAAAAAAAATCAAACATACGTTCTGAAAACACATTTTTTAGCAGCGTAAACACAATTTAAGTCCAATATACATGAAAGTGATCTCCAATATTGCAACATCACACTTCAAGTTGTACCGTCACACCTTGTAGTAGCCAGGGAGATTAATTGTGTTGATGCTTTCTAACATGACAATCTGGCATACAGTTTATTGGCAAAGATTATGGAACACGATCCCTAACCATCTCTCGATTGCATGTTTACTGTATTGTACACCAACCAGACCTGGTATTGTATGCACCCCATTGTATGCACCTCATTGCTCCTAACTTAAACAATATAATGCTTATAAATAAGGAAATAAAGCTCTCCATGTAAAACTCAGAACGCTCTACCATTCTGCTACAATACAGGAAAATTGCACTTATGGGATCTCCCATTAATCAGCAGGCTTTGTCGGTTATATTTTGGGGGTTAATATCTGTGGCTGCACAAATTACATAAATGTTGCCTTGGTAAAAGTTACAGGAAAAATATTTTTTTTAGAATTATTCGCCAATTATTCCTAATGGAAAAACCAAGGGGAAAAAAATTAATGTATCCAAATTTTATACCTAATAAAAAATTATATATACTGTATATTAGTTACATCCAACAGGTAGGGCGTTGTAGGCAAGGGACCAGGTTTTCACCAGGTGGATTTCCTGCTATGCTGTGACACACACACACACACACTCCATATAATACCTTGTGACCATTTCACCATGTGTATGATTTTGTTCTTATTGCAGTGAATAACTGGTATTTTCAGGTATTTTCCTTTTACTATTGATGATCTTTTCCTTACAATTTATCTCGCACAGAGTGATGCTCACCAGTTTCGTCACCTGGCTGCCATCTTACGGTATATTTTGCTATCCCGGGGTCCTTCCGAGGAGAAGACGGAGGAGCTGCACAGGTTAGTTAGTTTTGATCTTGCCGTTTCATATAGAAAATAAACTCCTATTAAAGACAAACTGTAATGGATTTGATTCAATTCCATTTTTTTCTCAAGCACATCTAAACCTAGAAAAAAAAATTTCGGGTTAGAAGTCCTTAGATGTGGATTAGTTTTCTTTTTTTTTTCAGGGTAAGAACCTTTTCAGCAAGTACAGAAAATACCTGTTAATCTTGGCAGAAATGCAATGTCCTGTGACCTTTTTAAAAGAGCGCACAAAGAACTTTATTGTGTTTAAATTCTAGACCAATCAATTCACTATATGAACAAAGGCAGACATGTTTAAAGGCCAGTCTCTGTGACAGCCATAGCTGCCCCCATAGATACAGTTGAGTCAAAAGCGTAGACATGAAGAGACAGGAAGTGTGTTATTTGCAGGATTGCCAGGTATATATAAAGGGGAAAAAAAGGAAAACAAATGCAGCCACTACCTCTCATCAGGCTGCAGTATATTACATTTTTTTTTTCAGATTTAGATATGATTTAGGTCATGGTTTTTTTTGTAACTGAAATAAGGAAAGGTTAAACTAAACTATAAACCACATTTTAAATGTTGCCTCTCCATTGCTTACCGTGGCCCCGCATTCATTTTCTAATACATTTCTAATTAATTGCAATATCATAATTTTTTAATATCATTTGTCTATGCGATCATGTGACCACAAAGCTATGACTGTTACTACTCTGTGTGACTGGAGAAAGGCAACTTTCCCCCACCCCTTCTAAGGCATGGCAATGTATAGCAAGATAGCTCTGTTTACAAATAGCTAAGAGTAACCTGGTAAACTTATGAAAATGAACCTCCACCCGTTGGTGGGTAAATAGAAAATGTATCTCATATTTACTGTACATGAATAAAAAAACACTTTTATATTGTTTTAGCCCTACACCTAAAAATGAAATAAAGAAAAGCATTCTATATGACTTTTAAAGTGTATGTAATCCCTAACAATAACCTTATTCCTGTTTGCTCCCTTTTAGTGTGTTTAAAAATACCATTGGAAGTGTTTTGTTTTGTTCTGTTCGATAAGTGGGAGAAAAAAATCTGTTGATCTTGCCAGAAATTCTGTGAGATCATAACTTTCTGTGCACTGTTATTGCTTAGCAATGTTATCAGTTTTTTCTTTTCAGACTACAGAACACCTCTCTGAAAATAAGGAGGGGGTGTTCTGTAGTCCTAAAACACTTTTTTTTATTATTTATAAAACCTCCACTTAGCGTATAGCTGGGCGGATGTCATTTGCACAGCACTAGGGACCCTAGATGGCGCTATGCTGCACCATCTAGGGTTTGGTTCTCAACTGGTGGGTCATGACCCAAAAGTGGGTCGCAAGCCCGTGTTCAGTGGGTCACCGCATCCCACTTTTCTAGGTGAGAGGCTGCTCTGCCTCCCCCTAGTGCAGCACTGTCAGTTCTCGCACCAAGCAGCCATTCAAAATATGCTGCCCGGCACTTAGTGTCAGCTTGAGGGGGATGGGCTGGGGCTATGGCCGCGAGGGAGCTCCATCCATGCTAAATTTCACAAAATTCATGCTTCTGCTTTCTGTTGTGTTTCTCTGAGCTCCTGCCAATCATCCTGAAATGTGGATATGTAATTACAGGTACAAATATTGAGATTATAGCAGCCCCTTTATTCTAAATAAACATTCATATTTTCACATAGAGTATAACAGTATATTTAAAAGGACAGGGAACACAGCACAACACCAAAAATGAATAATGAAAAAATGTATCAAAAATGTTTTTATTCATTATCCATAATAATATATAACCTTGAAAGGAGTTGTGAAGTCCCAGCATATCCTCTCCGGTTATAACATCAGCATTGTAATAGGAATACATATTAGAGTTGTGTTTGATAATGCAATCACAGCTTACTTGAAAAAAATTCCCTCTGAGGTCCCGTTCACACCATGGTGGTTCGGTCGTGCAGATTTGTCAGCGCTGAACCACCAACATGAACAATCCCAAACATTCCTATGGGGACCGTTCATGCGATCGTGCGGCTCTTCGTGATCCGAACCGCCTGCCGCCCGAAATGCTCCCTCAGCTATTTTTTTGCGCTAATCAACACGGATTCCATATAGATTTCAATGCAAGCTCGTCTTTGGGTGTTTTTAATTGCGTTTCAGCGGTGAAACGCAATTAAAAACACCCAAAACTGCCCTTTTTAAAATTTGTGCGGAAACCGTGCTGAAACGCACCCGCCCTGGTGTGAATGGGGCCTTATGTAGTGAGTGCTGCCTTCCGTCTGCCCATCACTTTCAACGACTTCCTGGATTCCCAGTGTGCTTTGCGTCCCTTTCCTTGCTGCTTGATGTGAAGACTACGTATCCCATCATGCATTGCTTCCAGCAAGCCATGATGATATTACATTCTGGGTGTTTCCTCTGTTCACTGTGAGAGAGGGGGAAAGAGTTGAGTTGTAGTTCAGAAGGCAGGCTCTGTGAGAATATTTGCACTAGGAAATGCATATTTACAGGGCTGAGGGAACTTGTATCAGTGCATTGCGGAATTACTTCCTATGGGCATCTTCAGGAAGTAATAATACGACCTAATATATAATATTTATTTTTAGTTCGACCATAAATACCCTCCCAATTATTCATATTATAAAGGCTAAAAAAGCCAAAGGAATACCCACTCAAATGTGTTTTGCTATTTCTTTGGCTTTTTTAGACTTTTTAATAAGGATACTAAAAAGTTATATTTTATCAACATTTTTGAGATAAAGGCGCCTTTTTAATTTTTCAGTTTTTCATTTTGTTTTTGTGCTCTGTTCCCAATCCTTGTATAAATATACTTTTATGATTTGTGGGAGGGTGTGCAGCTTTTTTGTTACTATATTATGGTATTATTTCATGAAATCGAGCAATAATTTCTGCTCTGTTTGACTAATTGTGTGCAAAGTCCTTTTCTTATAATTATCATCAGTCTGACTTGTTTGACGTCTTTGTAATGGCTGCTTACGTCATGTGCAGTCCTACTGCAGTGTGTCTGCAGATTCCTGACACCTGACACACAAATCTGTCAATAGTCCCTTATCCTTTCTTATTAGGTTTCCTCATTCTTTTTCATATTGTCTGCACTGATAAATCATTTAGGTTGTGACGCTTCTGGCATAAAGCCAAATACTAAAGTTGCCTAATAGATCCATTGTAGCTGTACAACATATTCATGTGAGTAAATGTTTATTAAATACTAGGGATAAGCTCAAGCTCATCCAAACCCCAAAGATAGACGTCAGTGCAAACCCAATCAGCTGTGGCCAGGGCATTCCCCTTCCCACAGCTGCACATAAACAAAGGGGTGGGATGCTGGTGACATAATTGACCTTATATGGCAACATAGCCATATTTGGTCAATTTAATTGACCTTATATGGCAATGTGGCCATATTTGGTCAATACAAATGACCTTATATGGCAACATGGCCATATTTGGTCAATACGATTGACCTTATATGGCACATGGCCATATTTGGTCAATGTAGTTGACCTTATATGGCCATATTTGGTCAATGTAGTTGACCTTTATATGGCCATATTTGGTCAATGTAGTTGACTTTTATATGGCCATATTTGGTCAATGCAATTGACCTTATATGGCCATATTTGGTCAATGTAATTGACCAGATGGGGCCATATTTGGTCAATGTAATTGACCAGATGGGGCCATATTTGGTCAATGTAATTGACCAGATGGGGCCATATTTGGTCAATGTAATTGACCAGATATGGCCATGTGGCCATATAAAGGTCAACTACATTGACCAAATATGTCCACGTGACTGAACACAGGGATGAATGAGCAAAAACTCAGTGTATAGTCAGCTTTAGAGAGCAGTGACCATAACCATTGTGTGGCACAGCAGTTCACAAAGCAAAGTATGTACTAAGCAATATGGCAGCCACCATACATTTATAATCCCTAATTAAAAATCTTCATAAAGGAGGACTGAGCTCCATCAAAACAATGACCATAAAATGCTGATGCTTTGACTTATCTCCGCTGCAAGACCTGTGAGTGTCTCTGCCTACTTTGGATTTATCACTAATTATGATACACTGCCTGGCCAAAAAATGTCATCACCTGGATTTAGCTAAGCAAATAGGTCAGAGCCTTTTATTGGATAATGGGTCTAGGTTCAGAAACATGATGTCCCCAAAAGATGAGGTCAGCTGCCTTCCTGAATATACTGAATGACCAGTTTTTTTCCATCAATGGATTTTTTCTTCCCTGATGGCACGGGCATATGCTAAGATGACCATGCCAGGTTTCAACAGGATCAAATTATGAGAGTGGGTCAGGAGATGAGACATTTTCATACTTGGATTGATCAGACCTGGACCCCATTGTGAATCTTTGCCATGTGCACAGACTTTATACAGTGGTCTGACTCTCCCATCATCACTACAAGGTCAATGTGAAAAATGAATGCGACTCCGGATGGAAATACATTTTGTGACATTGCACAAGCTTATTGAAAAGATGCCACAGTGAGTGTATGCCATAATCAAAGCTAAAGGCAGTCCAACTTAATATTAGATTGTGTGACTATTTTTTATGACCAGGCAGTTTAGGAAGATGGTTTAAGAAACATTAACATTTATAAATAGGGTTATCTTCATAATTCTGATTTATTTGACAAAGCTATCTAAAAAAATGTTTGAAAAGCCTATTCATGCCCTATTAATAATTTATGATGGGATATAAAAGCCAGGTGTATCTCCCAGGATGGTGTTGGCTTGCAATGATGTAATGAAGCTCTCTGTGTAACAACACTTAGCAAAGGCTGTTAATGTTTAATAAGTTTGTGCCCTAATAGACTGCCACATGATTACTTAGAACTCGGCATTTCGCTGCCAGAAGAAAACTTTGTCCAAGAGCTTTGCACACATGTTTAGGAATTTAAAGTAAGGATTAATAAAGTAAACCCCTGGAAGGTTAAATGTCGGCTGCTAGAAGTGTCTTCACATGGTTTTAGTTAATCTATAGAATGCTCTTTTCTACCTATCCAGTTTAAGAAATATGGGTTTACATTGGCGGCTTGGCACTCCGCCTCTCCCCTCTTGATTCTCATTTGTTTAGCTTTTGTTATGGTGACTAAAAGTGAGGTGTCGAGGGTACAGTCCGCTCAACTTTACTTCCTAAAGACAGACTTTGTATAATGGTGTACCCAAGGTTTTGGGGTTCTGGGACAAAGCTGCAATTAAATGCCAGGCTATGCTCTTCTTTAAAGTGCTAAAAGGAGCCCCTAGGTGCTTTTAGCCATAATGTGCTGGCAGACTTCCCTTCCAAAGCAATCCCCTTCAGCGCCGCAATGTCCGCTCTCTCCCCCCTCGCTGGTGCTTTAATCTTCGTCTCGGCCTTCTTCTGGGTTCGGAGCCTTCATCCGATTTTATTGGCGGGGCTCCAATGAGGTAACTCGTATCTATGCACATGGGAGTTGCTTCATCTTAGCAGGAATCTAGCTGAGACTGCACTAAACTGCACATGCGCAGCTGAGTGCACAGAAAAACAAAAAAGTGCTGACATGCAGATAGGAGGATCTATGTGAGAAGAGTCTTGCACAGTATATATAACACCTCCTCTTTAATGCTGGCTCATGCAACTCCCCACCTGTCTGCTAACCACTGGCAATAGAGAAAAATACTCTGTACATATTGGGTATGGGGGAGCATGTGACTCTTCTTCCTTCCTGATATTTGGCTGTTGATATTAGCACTGATATTAGCACTGTCAAATGGGAATGAAAAGTCAGCCCTGTGTAAGCTTCAACTCTTCTCCTCCTCACATGGGAGCGAGAAGTCAGCCCTGTGTATGCTCCAACTCTTCTCCTCGCATGGGAGCGAGAAGTCAGCCTTGTGTATGCTCCAACTCTTCTCCTCCTCACATGGGAGCGAGAAGTCAGCCCCGTGTATACTCCAGCTCTTCTCCTCCTCACATGGGAGCGAGAAGTCAGCCCTGTGTATACTCCAACTCTTCTCCTCCTCGCATGGGAGCGAGAAGTCAGCCCTGTGTATGCTGCAACTCTTCTCCTCCTCGCATGGGAGCGAGAAGTCAGCCCTGTGTAAGCTCCAACTCTTCTCCTCACATGGGAGCGAGAAGTCAGCCCTGTGTATACTCCAGGTCTTCTCCTCCTCACATGGGAGCGAGAAGTCAGCCATGTGTATACTCCAACTCTTCTCCTCCTCGCATGGGAGCGAGAAGTCAGCCCTGTGTAAGCTCCAACTCTTCTCCTCCTCACATGGAAGCGAGAAGTCAGCCTTGTGTATGCTCCAACTCTTCTCCTCACATGGGAGCGAGAAGTCAGCCCTGTGTAAGCTCCAACTCTTCTCCTCATCACATGGAAGCGAGAAGTCAGCCCTGTGTATACTCCAACTCTTCTCCTCACATGGGAGCGAGAAGTCAGCCCTGTGTATACTCCAACTCTTCTCCTTTAGCATCAGCATGTTGAGACGCAGACTCAGAAAATCTATGCAGCAGGGCTTCGAGACTGCCACTATCGCAGCAAGGATCGCAGAGCCAGGAGGAATACCAATAGGGAGAGTTCTTATGAGTTCTAGGACATTAGTGGGTGATTTCTACTCGCCAACATTCAGCTCTGATGAAACCTCAATTTTTGTGGGATGTCCCTGTCATAGATAGTATATCATGTAAAAAAAATATTTTTTCTTTTTATAATCAACATTATGCTGATCAGACAAAGCACAAGTTGAAACTATAACTGTTCAGTGGCCAATTTTCTTATTATGTTCAACTATATGGAGCATCTTGCGTTAACACTTCTCTTGATTCCCACACAGAACTATTGCTGAGTGTTTTTTCCCATTGTTATTTTAATACAAAACGCAGCGTGGTGGGAGGAGTGGGGGGTGCTGAGGGGGTGGCTGCCAAGTCTTAGTGATTGATGATCTCTGGGGGAGAGGAGAGAAAAGTATTGGTACATACATCCAAGCTGAAGAATGCAGGTTGCATTGTGGAAGCCCTAGATCTCAGGCCCCGGCTCTGGTATAAGGAGAATTTCATACACTTGTACTCCACAAATAAAACTGACACATTAACGTCACTGAGTCGCCCTAGCCGGGAACCACATTGTTAAGGGGCATTGATGCGGAAAATGTAATTCAGCAGTGAAGAAATTTTGGCTTGGACTTGTTAGCAGAAGCATCATATATAGACCTGTTTAGGAAGGGAGTGTAAACCACAGTAGCAATGTACAAAGGGCTGAATGCACAGCGGGCAGTCATGTTTCTTCTGACTTTACATTGGTCACTTAGAAGATTGCTTTTGATTAGCTGCTAGGAGTTAGTTAGCATAGTATCATAGTTCTTTGTGCTGATTTGTTGGACCTGTTTGTAAAAGCTATTGTAAGGAATGCAGAGGCGCTGTCTGGAGTAGGGATGCAACAATACCATTTTGTCCAAAACGTGTACCAATACTTTTTCTCAAGTACTCGTCAATACCAATTTCCAATACTTCTTTTTAGTGTCGTGACATTTTCTAAAACAATACAGACTAATGATTTTAGGACAGTGGTGAATTGCAGGGTCCCAGTCCTAACTGCGACCCTGGTAGTTATGCCACTAACTCCAGGCTGTAGAGGGACTACAAATCCCAGCAATACATTACCACCAGCTAAAGAGTTCTACAAATCCCAGCAATCTGTGTTGCTCACAGGATCTCACCGGGGCTGTGTGTGCGGGGTCTCACCGGGGCTGTGTGTGCGGGGTCTCACCGGGGCTGTGTGTGCGGGGTCTCACCGGGCCTGTGTGTGCGTGGGGTCTCACCGGGGCTGTGTGCGCGGGGTCTATTGTGATTGTAATGTATTCCTTATATTATAAAGCACTGTGCAAACTGTTGGCGCTATATAAATCCTGTATTATAATAATATAAGTTTGTTGGACATCCCACTACAAAACAATGGGAGCTGTAAGAGCCTCCACTCTTTTGGGAATCCAGTTTGCATTGTGTGTCTGTGGTAATATGTGCCATAAAAAATGCGTGAGGGTCAGATACTGTTTAATAAGACCTAGGTTTCAGTCGCCCTAATTATACCAAAAGGTATTCCATAGTCAGGGCTCTGTGCAGGCCACTTGAGTTCCTCCACATCACACTCGTCAAACCATGTCTTTATGGAGCTGGCTTGCTGGCACAGTCATGCTGGAGCAAAGAAGAACCTTCCCCAAACATTTGCCACTTTTTGTCTTTGTATGCTGTAGCATTAAAGCCCATCTCTGGGCAAACAAAACCCCTCCTCTTGCAGTGTGGCTACCTCCGCACTGTGTAGGTTAACTTCTCATTTATGCTTAGGGGACTGGAGTTGAGAGTTATTACTTAACTACCTTACGTCCATGGCCGTTTGTGAACGGCCAGATGGACGTCTGCTCAGAGCGGGAGGGCGTCTTAAGACGTCCTGCCCCTCCCCCCTCTCGTGTCCGCGCTGAGCGCCGCACACGAGAGGGAAAACCGTCAGCATGTAAACAGCCAGCGATGGCTGTTTACAATTCCATTGGCTTCAAGACGGTGCCTGTAGCTTCTTCCCCCTTCCACTCCAGCAACTAAATGATAAGTAAGGCTTACATTTTGGAATAAAAAGGAAGTTTATGGCTCTTTCTGGGAACAGACGCTCTGGTCTCTGCCAAAAGGCCAATCAGTGACATTGCCTCACTATCCGTCCCAGAACCCCCTTCGGCAGAGACTACATGAGCAGTTCTGTGGCATTGGTTATGTATCCTGCCCCCAGAGACAGCCTGAAGCAGTCTTTCTCAACCAGGGTGTCTCGGCACCCTTGTGTGCCTCCGGGCCTTCTCAGTGGTGCATCAACATTTTGTAGTGGGAATGTGATGTAAAGGGGGTAATAAAGACTGATGCAAACTCTGATGTGGGGTGGGGAGGGCTCTGATATGAAAGGAGGTTACTGATGCAAAGGGTGACTTTGATGTAAAGGGAGAAACCCCACGTTTTTGGGTGTTCTTGCATGGGGTCCTCCCTAAAATCTGACATTTTAGACTGGGGTGTCTTGAGAGTTTGCATACTTTTAAAGGGTGCCGTGATTAAAATAAGCTTGAATAGCGCTGGCCTAGAGAGCAACTCTCTCATCCTAACATAGGTTTTCAGCCTTTAATTAGCATAATGATGAAGAACCTTTACAATGACTCTCATTTAGGGTTTTTTGGGGGTTTTTTAGGTCGGTTTTAGATGAATGTCTTTTGAATTCATGATTTTGTAACCCACAGTTATTTATAAAATTATTTATGTTTTTTTTCAGCAATACAATCAATTTGTTGAGCAATGTTCCTGTCTCCTGCCTGGATGTGCTCATCACCCCATCTGGCCAAGAAATGTCTGCAAACAATAATGAGCCGGACATGGAGGCAATTCAGCACACTTTGAATTTTATGGAGAAGCGAATAGATAAGGTATTGGAGATGCTACAGCAGTTTGGGTTTGCCTCTGTCCCCTCCCAAAGTCCCCCAACAGAGAGCTTTTGGAGAATGAAGCTGTTTTGTTTTTTTGTTTTGTTTTTTTTAGATTGTAGTCCATCATGGAATGAGCTTGGTATGGTGGCTACTTTACAACACACACAGGGACCATGGGGAACAAAAGTAGCCACCCTCCAGAAGGAAGGATAGTGTCAGCACAAATTCAGAGATGATTTGAGGATCTGTATCTGAGTGATACACAGATAAGATACATATTTGTTAATAGTTAGGGTACTTTAATGCACTTTTATGATGTAACTCTTGAGTTTAGTGTCATATTTTTAATTTTAGAAAAAAACTTCCCATTTGATTATATGTGCCTTTATAGGAGAACTATGGGGAGAGTGAAATGCAGTCATCCTAACGTCGGCTCTATATATCAAGTACTGAGCAATCACATACCACTGATCACTGAGTTCCTAATCTTCTCCCTGCGGAGAGCGATGACTGTCAGACACCACCCCACGCAAGTCGTTAGTAAATGTCCTCCGGTGACCCAAAAGAGAACTAACGCCAAAAAAGGTTTGGCCATGGTTCTTTTTAAAATAGTTTATGCATGTTACCTATAAAAGCCTCTCTTGTGTAGACATCCAAAAGGCCAGAGACTGCTGCCAGGATGTGATGTCAGCTGCCCCAGTCACAGCTGTCAGTGACACTCCATAGGTTTTACCTATGTATGTGGGGAGGGAATGGGCAGTTTGTGGAAAAGAAAACCCCAGCAAGTACGCATTTTAAAAGCCTTAATTTTCTGTGCTTTTTAACTTCATTTTTTTTAGGTTGTAACAGGGTCTCTTTGATATCCATGTATGGCATGTCTATTGTAAAGTGATAGGTCCAGTTTAAAACTGTTTACCGCTCTCTATGATATTTCTATAATGTTCTACAAAGCATCCTGCGAAGTGGCCAATTAAGAATTATATTTTTACTTATTTTCTAACCAACCACAACCTGGAAGACAAAAACCATCCTCAAATAAACCCGAATCCTCTTCAGTAGTTTATTCCCCAGACGTAATGTTGCATCAGAGTTTGTGATGTTTGTACAAGTCCTTTTAATTGATAAATTGTCGTGTCTGTTTGGAGCCGGGAATCCTGCGTGTCATTGTATCTCTAACTGGATAGTTTAAGTTGATTGAATTTTTATTTCCTGTTTATTTGCTGTCTGCTTAACATCACAGAGTGCCTTTTCTTCCTGTCTCCTCTTAGGGCTGCAGCTACAGAGAGGGTCTCACGCCAGTCCTTAGCTTACTGACCGGATGTTCCAGGGTGCACAGAAGTATTCGGAAATACATCAAAGCAGAGGTAAGAGCTCTAGATTCTTGTGTCTGTAGGGCGAGGAATACAACATAAGTGCTCTTATGACTGTAAAATCCTGGGTAAAATTTTCTTAAAGAACCTTGAATGAAACTGTCCCATGCTGTTAGCAAATACAAGGTAGGTACGTTGTTGTGTCCACAAATTCCTTTACTAGACAGAAATATCCCTGGTCCTCTCTGGCTGCACCAACATCCCCAGCGCATTTACTTGACTTCAGTTTACTGTTGAACCTAAAACCACACCCTTACCTTCCCTTGAACTTGTGCACATACTAAACACATTAAAGTATTAACATATTGTTAATAGGGATGCACCGATATATATCGGCCGAAAATAGCACTTTTTGCAAAATACCGAAAGTGCAATTTTTCTGCAGATATAGCGGCGCATCCCTTCTTTCTCTCGGGCTCGACCGCCTGTGGCAGTTTCTCTCCTCCCCGCTGGGACACAGCGCCCAGCGGGGAGGAGAGAAACTGCCACAGGCGGCCGAGCGTTGTGGGAGGAGAGCGCTGTGCGCAGCCGAATTCTCACCTTCCACACCGCTCAGCCTCCTGTGACGGATCAGAGGAGAGCGGTGTGTGTGGGCGAAGACAGCCAGCGCTGTCACAGGAGGCTGGCTGGCTGGCAGTGCAGGGGAGGAGTCAGCTGTCAGATCGAGCTCTCCTCCCCGCTCTGCTCGCTCAGCCTCCTGTGACAGCTGTCAGGAAGGCGAGCGAGGTACAAACACTCAGAGGGGAATTTATCGAAACTGGAGCAGACAAAAACTGGAGCAGCTGTGTAGGGCAACCAAATCTTAACTGAACAAATTGAAGAGAGAAGCTGATTGGTTGTCATGCACAGCTGCTCCAGTTTTTGTCTGCTCCAGTTTCGATAAATCCCCCCCATGTGAACAGCTACATACAAAGGGCATTGTATGGTTACTATATCCTCAATTATGAATGAAGAGGAGTGATCTACATCACTTCCTGTTCATTCATGATTGTGGCTATAGTAAACACACTCTGTCCTCATGTTATAAATGATCAGGAACACTCAGCATTTCACCTTTCATTTATAACACGGGCTGCAGAAAAAGAGATCGAGGACTCTGTTCTCAATCTCTTTTTCTATTTTAAAAGGGAAATATCAGGGATCTGTTTTAGACCCCTAATATTTCCCCAAAGCATCTATAAGTAAAGTAAAAAATATTTAATATAAAATGATGACAAATTTAAAGTTTATAAAAAATGAATAAAAATTAAATATTTTAAAACATGAAAAAGTTAGAAAACAAACATTTTCGGTTTTCATCCGGTTTTGGCCCGACAATTTTTTTTTTTTAATTTCGGTTTTGTTTCGGTTTTAAAATGTTTCATTTCGGTGCACCTCTAATTGTGAACAAGCACTTTAAAACAAACCCTCACCTATGTCGGTATAGGCATTGTGACGAAATTCATCTTCAGACATCACAGCAGGAACTCTAAAATCTCAGCTCCCCTCACCTTAAGGCACCAGTCACGCTCCATTCTTAATGGCACCTAAATTCAGCAAGCAAGACGTACGTTGCTGCACACACTGCATGAGCTTCTTTGCTGCGTGTAAGGCAGCCAATTTAAATGTATAGGCCTATGCAGACATGCAACAAACACGCAAAAATGCTATGCATTGATGCCTTGCCTTGCTTTCAGTAGGGAGCAGAATCTTGGGAGTGTGCTAGTCCTTTAATGTAAACACACAATAGCTGTTGTAAGTTGTTAGAACCCTAATGAAACCGGAATTCAGAGGAGCTGTTGTGATTTTTGAGTGTCTTTGAGAATTAATTATTTCACAATATATACATCTAGAAAGGTCAGTGAGGACTTATTGTAAAACTGTTTTACTAATTGTTAATGGTATGTAAAAACGTGAATGTCTATAGTCTATTCACAGGTGTAATTTAAAGGACCTAGGCTATGGACATTCAAATATTTACATGTATTGAAGAAGTAGTAAATGAGCTTTAGAGCAAACAGTCATTGAACATAGTACTTGTAGGCATTGTGGAGCAATTGTTCCTCAAAGTTCACAAGAGAATCAGTCAAGTCTGGTCTTGGCACTCTGCTGCTCCCCTTTTCCTGGGTTTCTCCCCTGTGTTTGTATCAGAGATTAGAAGACTGGCAGGCTAATGAGTGACTGCTGGGAGGGGGAAGCCAAGTAAAAATTAGGAGAGTTGTCCCCTGATGCAGTGCTACGCGAGGGTAAGGATGTGTGGGTGTGGATTTTAACCCCTTCATGACTGAGCTAGTTTTCAGTTTCTGTTCATAAATGACTGACACACCTTTTACATTTTTGCTGTGTGATTCTTCCACAGCAGTAATATACTTTCTTACTAAACGTACCAACTCATATTATATATTGTTTTTTTGAGGACAGATAGGGCTATATAATTATATCAAACATGTGTACTTAACGCCTCACTTAGTTTGAATAAAATATAAAAAAATGAGGAAAAAAACTAGAAGAAAACACTTTTTTTCACAAGTTTTGATTATTATTATTATTTTTTTTTAGAAATGTGTTATAATAATTATAGTATAACAAATATATTTATATATCATTTTTATTTTCCTAAGTAACTGCTGAGAATCAGTGGTTACCGGCATTACAAAGCCTGATATAACTCATCATGTACAGTGTACGTGGCCAGTCATATAGGCACTTCGTGACTGGACGTACAGTGTACGTCTCCCGTCACGAATGGGTTAATGCTAGGTATGCAGCTTCTTTAAAGTGCGGACCGGGGTGTGCGACGCTACTACCATACAGTGACTTAGTATAACATAAGAAATAGGAATGACAACTTGCCATAGAGCGAATGATGACGCGATATCATCGACGAGGGGTAGATGGATGGGAATCCTCCACTGATGGGAATGGTTTGCACTCACTTATGTGTGTGAACAGATATGGGGAAGGTGAGGCAGGCACAAATGGATACGGTCTGATTGATCCTGACAGCATCAATCGGCCTGTATCCATTCATGCCTGCCAGAATCAGCAGTCCCCTTCTATCTAGGACCCCTGCAATACACAGTACTCAGACCCAGGCTTTCACTGCCATCGAGCCCCCCACAGCCCCAATGGCAGTGAGCAACCCATACACCTCCTCACCTTCCCCCATATATGTTCACACACATAAGTGAGTGCAAACCCCAATTCCCAACCATCTACCCCTCGTCGATGATATCGCGTCATCATTCACTCCTTGGTAGGTTGTCATTCCTATTTCTTATGTTATACTAAGTCACTGTATGGTAGTAGCGCTTCTGTCCTCATTTTTCTGTTCTCAAGGGGGAAGCAAAGTAAGCTGCTAGAGAAAATGAAATAGTTTTTTTCTGTAAAGTTACAGGGATTAAGAACTGTACTCCACTGTGCATGCAGCTACAGAGGACAGGGAGTGCTTGTTTTAAAGCTCATTATTTGCTTGTTTAGAAAATGTCACTAGCCTGACCACAAGTCGTCTTTGCAGCTTTCCTGAAGCCACATTTGTGCAGTTATGTTTATATGTCTTATTCGTGGTTAAGTTGTGTAATTTGAATACACGTGAACACCAATGTCTCTGTATTAGAAATGAGTTGCAGTTTTCAATTTTTACCATCCATGCAAAGCACAAGGGGAATGTCTATGACCACTGTTTGCAGGGGCCCCTGTGACATACAGCTGTGCAGTCACTTACAAGCCCCCATCTTTCACCCCGAATAGCGATGGAGAATCACCTGCACACCATAGAGCGCTTGAACCAAACAAAATGTCCATTGGTGCCCAAAGTGACGACACGGATGGCGCCGTGCTACAGTCCAAGTAATCATAGAAGTCACCAGCACTCACTTGTAATGTGCAAAAAGCATAGCACGTTTATTGATACGCCACATGCGTCAAAAAGCCAACTTTTCGGGACCACGCAGGGTCCTTCATCAGGGCGACATTGTGACCACAATGTCGCCCTGATGAAGGGACCCTGCGTGGCCCCGAAACGTTCTCTTTTTGACGCATGTGACATCAATAAACGTGCTATCCTTTTTGCACATTACAAGTGAGTGCTGGTGACTTCTCTCTTTACCCATCTCTCACCCATCGCAATGTTACATATGCATTCCATGTAGCAGATGTTACCGATTAGGCAGGACATGTATTTATGAATCTCACTCTTAGAGATGTGCTTATATTAGCACTCTGCCAAGCTGCATTCTTGAACAGAAATTGGAGCAGGTAAAGAATTAAAATGGTGGTGCCATTTTCAAAAAACATTTTAGTTCAATTACATTACAGTATTTTCTAGATGCCTACAGTGGTGTTCAATTTTAGCTTTATTTATATAGTAACATATATTTTATAATGAAGGCTATAATCCCTAATAATTTATAAAAACTGGAGCAGACAGAATCTGGAGCAGTTGCCCATGGCAACCAATCAGCTTCTCTCTTCTGTTTGTTCAGTTAAGAATTGAAAATGAAAGAAAGACGCTGATTGGTTGCCATGGACAACTGCTCCAGATTTTATCTTCTCCAGTTTTGATCAATTCCGCTCTTTGTTTTTTACACATTTTTAGGTTCTTCCTCCACTGAGGGATTTAACCAATCGGCCAGAAGTTGGGACAACCGTACGGAACAAGCTGGTGCGCTTGATGACCCATGTGGACCTAGGAGTGAAGCAAATTGCAGCTGAATTTCTGTTCGTTCTCTGTAAAGAGAGAGGTAATTAAAGAAAAATGGTTGTGAACAAATTAATGTACAATCCAGGAGCCGGCTTTTAAAAAAACAAACCATAAAGCCAAGACTGCACAACAATGATAATGTCCTAGAGTCAGTCTCCAGATCTCAGTCCATTGTAGAAAATATGGCCTGATCTGATCCCTATGCAACCTGGCAGAGCTGGAGATCTATCCACACAGAATGTGGCTGTAATTGCTGTCAGATGTGCAGCCACTTAGAACTGAGTTGCATGGTGGTGAATATTTATGCAGTCATCCATTTTGTGTATTTTAATTGAAATTAATATACATAGATCCAGACTTCTTTCCATATGTTTAGCAGGCTATACCTTCAGGTTTACAAAACACAGAAAATCCCCAGCTCACCTGCGAGCTAGCCTGCAACCAAACAAATTGCCCTGTCAACAGTATGCGTTAAAATCAGAGGTTTTAGTTGCACAAACTTTTGGCCAAAAATATGCCAGCTGTCAATCACGCAGCTGGGTGGATGCAGACATCCGTCCCGGCTGCGGCGGTCTCAGTATACCGCGAGCTGAGCTTTGGGTCACGGGAGGATGCTAGTTTGTGTTCTCCCATGGCCCTTAGGAGAACTATGGAGAAAAACACTTACCCCATAGTTCTCCTTTAAAGTGGACCTAAACCCCATTTTACTAAAAATCACACTAGCATGCAGCTCTGCTCAAAATACCTTTCCCCGGGATTGCACAAGAGTTTGCAGTTTACAGATGAAACTTCCCAACAATGCAATGTGAGTTAACCTTCCTGGGCATGAACTCTTAGGCATGGGCTACATCACCTGAAAGTGGAAAAACAGTAATTGTAAGTAAAAGAAAAATATATTTTTATTTAACGAATGTAAGATGATTTCATCTCTTAAGTGCTACTGCAAGGGTTTAAATACCATGCCCTTGCAGCACATAGGAGATTCGGGCTGATGTTCTCACACTCAACTTCCCTGGTCCAATGCACCCTCGGAACTCTGCTCCGGAAGCTAGGTGGCTGTTGATTAGAGCAGTGTACAGGGGGCGTCTGATCACTGGGGTTGTGTGTGTGAGCAGCACTTCGTTAAAAATAAATGCAGCCTGACTGCATTACAGTAATAAATCAAGAAGGTTGAATTGTTCTTTATACCTACAATACCCGAGCCCTAAAACTTCAGCGAACACCAAACATTACCTTATAACTTCTTTACTGTAAAACTAAAAGTGATTGTTGCACTTAGTATGAATTTCCTTGCTTTTGGCAGTGGACAGCCTCCTGAAGTATACTGGTTATGGAAATGCAGCTGGGCTTCTTGCCGCCCGAGGTCTCTTAACTGGTGGGAGAGGTGATCACTGGTATTCTGATGATGAGGATTCTGACACTGAAGAATACCTCCAGGCAAAACCAAAGTAAGGAAGTGTGGAATATGTATTGTAGCTGTTGTCTGAACTCGATGGTTTTATCACCTTTTATGTGCTGGAAATGGAGGTGCACTAACAGCAGCCCGGGGATGTACAAATATGCATGTTGATTTGGGTGAGTGGGAGCACCCTGTAAACACCCCCGACTCCAGCTGATCTGGGGTAAACCTGCTGTTTTTGGTTGGAAGGTTTCCACTTAGCAAGTGCATAAAAGTATTTTATATCTTTTACATCTCGAGGCCAAATTTACACCTACAAAAAAAGATTGAGACATAAACTAAACCCCTTAATTTTTGTAATCCAGAGATTTGTATTTCACCAAACTCATCCCCTTGTGTTTCAGCATAAATCTAATCACTGGTCATGTGGAGGAACCAATGGCGAACCCAATTGATGAAATGACAGAGGAGCAGAAGGAGTATGAAGCTATGAAACTGGTCAACATGTTTGACAAACTGTCCAGGTACAGTCATCAGCAGCCTTTGTACAGTCTCTTGTATCTTGAAGACCATTAGCGGTCAACTTCTTTAAGTTTTAAGTTTATTTATTGCTACAGAAACCAGTCAAGGACAGTGGACATCCTACAGGATAGGGTCATAGATGCTGCATATGTTGTTGGAGACTGGGGATATGCTACACAAATTGATCAGAGACCGGGGACATGCTGCACAAATTGATCAGAGACCGGGGACATGCTGCACAAATTGATCAGAGACAAGGAGAATGCTACGGGAGATGATTAGAGACAAGGGACATGCTACGTGCTACAAGAGGTAGTCAGGGCTGGATATATGGTACAGGAAACGGTCAGATCCTTGGGACTTGTTACATGGGACTGCTAGAGATCCCTGCCATTACAGACCCCTTGCAAATCAATGCTCCTACATTTGAGCTTCCTAAAGTACTCTTTAAACTTACTGGCACCACATTTGATATTCCTCCCAGCAAATTCCATTGTAACAGATTAGAAAAAATAAATAAATAAAAGGCATGGACAGCATGGAAAAAGTAGGAATGTGTAAGAGGAATATCCCAAACCATTTAACTAGCAGAATCTAGTATAATTATTTTTTTCCCTTCGCTGGCCTTAAAAAAGAGCTATGGCCCAACCTTTTTTTGGCATAGTTCTCTTTTAAACTCAGCATATAGTCTGGATACACCCCACTTCCTGATTGACAGCTGGCTCTGCCTCTCTAGAGCCAGAGGCAGCTGTGCCAGTCCCCCCACCCAATTTGTCCCTCCAGTAAGCGCTGGAGGAACGGAGAGGGGAGGGGGAATCTCCACGGTAAGTGGTGACTGACAGTCACTGCTCTCTGCAGGGAGATGCTCAGGGACTGAGTGATTGATGGTATGTGATCACTCAGTTCCCGATCAATAGAGCTGACACGTGACAGCTTCAGTGTCACACGTTGGCTCTGATTATGGGGATGAGTGTATTTCACTCTCCCTGCAATTCTCCTTTTACTAAATGCCTAGTCTGGGAAACATTTATTACTGTCTGCTGGGGCTTGATGGCATACAAAATAGAACCAAAGAGCCACAGGTTGGGCACCGGGGGAAAGACACTGAAGGGACGTGAATTGCCCATATCAAGATAGCTCTGAAGATTTCAGGCAGCTATGCTACCAGTGTTAGAGAAAAGCGTATCAAAGCACTTTAATGAATACACAACTGTACTATGGGGTGCTTATTATTTCCTTTGTGCATTAACTTGTCATAATTTAGATTGGGCTGCCAACACAAGTCAACAGAACAAACATCAGCACTATTTTTTTCCTAAATTCAGTGCACCGCAGTGGACCGTGTGGTACATCAGCACCTACGTTAGGGTGCCATGCTCTGTCTCCCAATTGTGATTTTAATGGAGACTACAAATGGCTGGTTCAATACCCATTACATAGGCATGGTTCACTCTTGTCACTGTCAATATACCCGCCCTGAGAAATTACATGCAGCCATAGGCAGGGTGCATGCATGTAGACAGGAAGTGGCTGCAGGAGATCAGCAGTACTGATACGTAACAAATTATTAAAGGAGAACTATGAGGTGAGTGCTTTCCACTCACCTCATAGTTCTAGCCGACCTGTGACAATGAGACTGTCACAGGTCGGCTCAGTAGATCGGGAGGTGAGCGAACACATAAATAGGATACTGCGAACTGCGGCGTCTCAGTATACCGCAAACTACAGCTCGCAGTATACTGAGCCTAGGGTGACGGGAGGACGCTAGTTTGTGTCCTCCCGTTACCCTAAGGAGAACTATGGGGAAAAGACTTAACCCCATAGTTCTCCTTTTTAATAAAAGGTGCACAAATTTATTATCATTTTTTTTTAAATCTATTATGCAGAATGCTTTACCAAAATGGCATTCAGTTAGGGTTTGCATGTAGTTTAAACTGAAAAATAGGGGTATGACTATGGCCCTCTCAAGACCGTTTATGAATTTGTATAACAAGTGATTCTGAATGCAGAATTTCTATATTACAAAGGGATCCAGTTAAGGTTTTGTGCTGTCGTCCAATCTTTTGTTGACATTTGGAATCCTACAGTGGAAGCCTCCGGTCCAATTATCCCGGCCTATGTTGTGTGATATATTCAGTAAAGCGGAGCGTATATAAGAGAGCGAGCGCCAGCCAGCTCATTAAAAACACATAATTACCAGCTAATTGTTCGGGCAATGCTGCTCCCGCCGCTTCTGCTCCCTTTTGTAGCCGCTGACCAAACAAAATCACGTCACAGAAAGCCGACAAAGTATTGTTGGAATTCAGACTTCAATTAACAGAAAATATTAATGGGCAAGGAACACAGTCTTGTGAAACAAGGGCTTCTGGCTGAATAGTGTTTGTTTCTCCGGCGAATCATTAATGTCCTAATGAAAAAAGCTGCCTTTTGTGCCGGGCTGCGAGGGCGAAGACTCGCTGAGGTAATACATCGATTTGCAGCTAGTGATTAAATTAAACCTGTGCAGGGCCTGCAAGCTGGCTAGGTGAGTGGCTATGTCTAAGGAGATGTGTAAGCAGGTGATGGAATGCAACTTAGAAGAACAATCAACTCAGTTAATTAAAAAAAGGTTGTTTTTTTTCAAAAGGGAAACAGTATTTCTATAAAAATGCTTTAGAGGTTGATATGTGTTCAGGTTTCATGTGACTAATCTTAAAGTGTATCAAAACCCAGAATGTAATATAGTGCAGTTTACCAGTCCTTAGATGTAGTGACTGCATTAGTCTTCTTTTTTAAGTTTTTATTTTTATTAATTTATTAGCTTTATTTTCACCCTGAAATCCTGTAAATAACACACTTCCTGTCCCTTCATGGCTACACTCACTTCTTTACTGTATCTATGGGGAAGCCATGGTTGTCACCCTGGTAGGACTTCAAACATGCCTTTTTATCTTCATTACATCATGGATCAATGGGATAGTTTACAAAAGAAAGATGGCTGTTTTTGCTGTCATTTTATCTCCGAGAGAGTTACCAGTATTTGGCCTATTACTAGGACTATTTTTCTTGCAGGATCAACAGGTATTTTCTCTCTTACTGTCCTTAGCCTGAAAAAAGAAAACGTATGCAACCAACACATCTAAGGACTGAGCTGGTCACCACATTCCATGAGCACACCTAGTTGCCTAGCTTACCGTGAACCTGTTCTGATCCGGGGCCACCTACATTTGCTATAGGTGTCCTCTGTTCGGGGTTTGTATAAGTAGATCTGTTATGTAGTTACTGCATTCTTGTCATATGCTGCATACATTTAAGAGAACTGCACCCCAGTTCCTTTTGTTTTCGTGCATAGTTGAGTTGCTTAGCCTTGTTCCCACGTCGGAGGTATGGCTTTTTGGCCCCAAGGCCACAGAAAAAGGGCAGCGGGTGCTCTGGATTGATGAGTCAAAATGTGAAATCTTTTGCTGTAGCAGGAGGCAGTTGTTTTGCTGAAGGGCTGTGGAGCGGTACAATAATTGAGTGTCTGTGGGCAACAGCGAAGCATGGTGGAGGTTCCTTGCAAGTCTGGGGCTGCATTCCTGCAAATGGAGTTGGAGATTTGGTCAGGATCAATTGTGTCTTCAATGCTGAGAAATACAAGCAGATACTTATCCATCATGCCATACCATCAGGGAGACGTGTGATTGGCCCCAAATTTATTCTGCACCAGGACAACGACCCCAAACATACAGTCAATGTCATTAGGAACTAACTTCAGTGTAAAGAAGAACAAGGAGTCCAGGAAGTGATGGTTTGGCCCCCCCACAGAGTCCTGATCTCAACATTATGGAGTCTGTCTGGGATTACATGGAGTGTGTGTGTGTATTGTAAATAATAGGAATGCACCGAAACATATTGGCAGAAAATGCCATCTTTCGGCCGAAATTGTTGTGCATCCCTGTTTTCTCTCCTCCCCGCTGCTCTGTGTCCCCCTCATACAGCGCAGTGTCATGGGGGGGAGGAGAGAAAGTGTCACAGGAGAGTGATGTGAGCGGCCGGCGTGTCACAAGAGGCCGAGCTCTGCTCCCGCCCGCCCTGCTCAGCCTCCTGCGACAGATTAGGAGAGCGGTGTGGGGGCGGAGACAGCTGTCACAGGATGCCGGGCCGGCAGTGTGGGGAGGAGAGCTCGGTGTCCTCTGACAGCTGACTCCACCGTTCGCTCAGACTCCTGTGACAGCTGTCAGGATGGAGAGCGAGTGATCAGTGATCGCTGAGTGTTTGTAGATAATTGAGGACATGGTATGGTTACTATATCCTCAATTATGAATGAATGGGAAGTGATCTACATCATCTCCTGTTCATTCATGATTGTGGTTATAGTAAACATACTCTGTCCTCATGGTATGAATGAACAGGCACACTGCGTATGAAGGCTTCCTTTTCATTTATAACAGGGGATGCAGAAAAAGAGATAATAAGGGAAAGGGAAATATCAGCGGTCTGTTTAGACTCCCAATATTTCCACAGAGCTCCCAACAGTAAAGTAAAAAAATTGAAATATTTAATTAAAAAAATAACTAAATTAAAAAAAAATGTAAAAGGTTAGAAATGTTTTTTTCGGATTCATCCTGACATTTTTTGTAATTTTCGGTTTCGTTTTTGAAAATTTTGTTTCGGTGCACCTCTAATATATAATACACTCACGGTATATATGGTAGAATAAAAATTGTAAATATGCCCCCACCCACATAAAAAAAATCATACATACAGTGCTGCATGCCTGAGATCCAAAGCCATCCTGTGGCTGAACACATTGGACATAGTCACCTTCAATGCGAGCAAATGCACTTGGCGCATCCAAGTAGTACACAGCATTACCAGTCCACGGTCGGCACTCTCTTTTATAGTTCGATAACGTTGGAAATTAATTTATTGCGCTCATTTATTAGTTTTTAAATCAATAATTAAGGACTACCTAATGAGGCAGTGGCTTGTGGGCTAGATATAATTGGATTGACGATGGAGAGCTGTTGGAAGCTTTAAAAGGATTAAAATGATTGTCAGCTCTGTAATTAAACTGTCGCGGACAAAAAGCTACAGAAAGAAGGTTGACTAATTCCTTGTGAATCGAGCAGGTCTCAAGCACCACTAGAGGATGTGCAGGCACAACCTCACCTACATTATTTTCCGTTTCCTAATTAAATCAAAACTCGACATCTCCTGTTTAACTGAATGGGAACTATTTGCTGAACTGGTGCTGAGTCTCAGGCAGTTCAGTCTTTTTTTTTTTTTTTATGGAATAAAATCACAGACAAAAGCGAACTTGTATTTACCGCAGCGTCCTTGCGTCCTTTTCCAGCACTCATTAAACGTGGACTTCGGCGCTTTCACTTTAATTGGCAGACGGCGACTGAGAACGAGCCGCATCTATTCTTTGCATTATTATGGCCCTTCAAGGTCAACTTTATTTGTTAAACATTGAGCTGGAATTAATAAAAGGGGAAAATATTTGTATGCCGCCCCTGTCTGGGAGCCGTTGCATGTAATCCTAACGCTGAATAGAATTTTATTTTTTGTCTTCCAGGGAAGATATTATTAAACCGATGGGCGTGAGAGCAGATGGGACGATGGCACCATTGGAAGAAGCTATACACTGCACACAGATGCCCGAGCCGGAGAGTTCAGATTCAGACTAACGCAATCTCCTGTGGTTTTTTTAAATTTTGTTTTTGATATCTATTTATACTCTTGATAAGTCAGAACTTATTTTGTCTTTGAGAAGTAATAATAAGGTATATACATTTTTTTTTGTTGTTGTTGTTAAATTTCCACAAACTTAAAGTACTGTCCAGTTACATTTATAAGCTGTTTATAAGAAACATAAAATCGTTCTTGTAGGGGTGATGGCAGATGGGTGTTTCTGCAAGCTGTGAATATTTTAAAGCAAAAGCCAATGGCGTGATTCATCCATCGCTGTGAATATTTTAATGAAAACATATGAGGAGATGAACCTATTTCCAAGCAGAAAATAGAGACATTTTAAAGCTGAACTTCGAGGAAATTTCAAAACTAACTGTGCATTGGGGGATTCTCCCACACTGCAAGGGTTAAATGCTCTTTTTGTCTGGTGTACCATTATAGTAATGTAGCGTTAGAAGATGAACCACGTTACCCAGGGTACCACATCCAGGTAATAGTATATACTTTGGACAAACGTTGTTGGAAATAACGGACTTTTAAAGTGATACTAAACTCAGGAGTTAAAGTGACATTAAACCTTTGTTTTTTGTATGCAAGGGAGGCACACATGGTATGCATTTAAAAAAAATAAAAATGTAATTCCCTAGTTAATGGGTCCCTGCATCGCTCTCCTCCCGGCCCCCTGCACTGGTGCATCCATCAGCACGTTCCCAGCCGTGCCCGTAAGTAGCTGTGTGTGTCCATAGACACACGCAGCCTTGCGGCAGGCCACGCCTCTCCTCCCAGCAGGTTGATTGACGGCAGAAGGAGCCTGTGGCTCCTCTGCCCACAGTATCCCCCCCTGAAATCCAGGAAGTCCGGGGAACAAGGATCGCTTTGGGGACAGTCAGCGGTGACACAGCTGTGCACAGGTAATTGTGGGGGAACTTGGACACTAAACGTTTTTTACCCTAATGCAAAGAATGCATTAAGGCACATGTGTCAAACTCAAGGCCCAGGGGCCGAATCTGGCCCACCAGGCCATTTCCTAGACTTCTACTTTCAGATCTAGGTATTATGTTATTACTAAAACCAGTGATAATTGAATGCAGAGGCAATTATGATAAAGATTAGATACATTTATATATTCTTAAAGATACCTTTTGAGGGAAACCATAATGTTGATGCGGCCCACGATTAAATTGAGTTTGACACCCCTGATTAAGGTAAAAAAAAACGACCAGCCTTTATTACTATTTTAAACCTTAAAAATACATTCAGGTACCCTAATTATTATTAACAAAAATGTATCTTATTTGTGTATCACTCGGCTGTAGATCCTCAAATCATCTCTGAATTGGTGCTGACACTGTCCTTCCTTCTGGAGGGGGGATACTTTTGTTCCCCATGGTCCCTGTGTGTGTTGTAAAGTAGCCACCGCTCCAAGCTCACTCCTGCGATGGATTACAATCTCATGTTTTAGTTTACTCATTTGTACTGAGATTGTAGTCTATCATGGAAGCAAGCTTGGTGTGGTGGCTACTTTACAACACACACAGGGACCATGGGGAACAAAAGTATCCCCCCTCCAGAAGGAAGGACAGTGTCAGCACCAATTCAGAGATGATTTGAGGATCTACAGCCGAGTGATACACAAATAAGATACATTTCTGTTAATAGTTCAGGTACTTTTGATGCATTTTTAAGATTTAACTCCTGAGTTTACTGTCACTTTAAGGTACCCAAAGATTGAGTTTAGAATAAAAACAAACTTTATTTACACTTTATACCGTTAAAAAAATTGAATTAGGAACATATAGCACATTAAAGGCTTCTTTACAATTCATGAGTATCTCATTACCTTCATCGATTACCTCAATGTATCTAATGCAATATAATTGCATACTTTACATCCATTGATTCTTCAAGTTTCAACACATTTTTACAGTAGAGGTAACTGGCCGATGGGTATACATGTTCTATGCATTTCACGGACCCAACGCTTCTTCAGGAGCTTATGAGCTCTTCTAAACATATAGGAAATAAATCAAATCTATTCAACATGTAAGTATAGTTGTAGTCAATAAATAACATTATAGCATAGTCATATTACCATCAATTGTCTTACTTCTATAGAGCTAGTGTACCATTAAAAAGCAGTTTTACTTACCTCATCCCTTACATCTGCAGGTCCCCCGAAGCAACTTTGCTTTTTTGCCGCTTCCTTGGTCGCAGGCACTCTGATGTCATCACATACAATGCATGACCAGCAGTCCTGCATTGTAAGTGAGGACATACACAACCTGTAGCGTCAGAGATAAGAGGAGAGTGCCAGTTGCTGGGGAAGGGACAGAGTGATAAAGTAAGTAATATTATAGTGTTCCTCTAGAAAAAACGAGCACTTACCTTTGCAGCGCAGGTGGAGCTACACTGCAAGGGTAGTTTTGACATTTCCCTGGGGGTTCAGCTTTAAAGTGACAGTCGTTTATGTGCGGGATGCAGCAAGGAAGGGTTTGAGTCCAAATCGGCTTTCTATTGCTGTCCCTACTGGGGGGATTCTCCTCAATTCTTGACAGTGGAGCAGAGAAGGGTTTGAACTTCTGACAATGTTCTTATTACTGTCTGTGCCTTCCCGATCCCGTGCCAATCTCCTTTCCCATTTCTTGTAGCACAGGGACAGGAAGTGAGAGAAAAATCTCCAAAAAACACAGACTTTTGAACTCTTCCCCGCACTATCCAAGAAGCAAATGGTTTAGGCTTTAAACATTGCTCATTGTCTCAAACAAGCTTGTGGAAAGCCTGAATCCTGGAAGAAGATTGTTTGAAGGTTTATCCAGGGCTTCCATTAAGATCTGAAACTGAAGGGTGTTTTAAAGCCTTCAAGGTTATTGGCCTTTTGAAGTACTTTTCTATTTTGCTTGCTAAAAGCACAGCGCTGTGGCCAAGCATCTACGAGCCAAGATTAAAGCTGAACTCAAGGCAGACATGAAAAATGGATGCAGCTCTGTATTCAATAATACAACATGAAATGTATTTTTCTTCTTATGTATGCTGTGTAACTGGCTGGATTTCGCTTAGTATCAGTCTCTTGTACAGTAGAGCTCAGACAGATGAAGAAGCAGCACAAGAAGCCAGTTAGGCTGTACTGCAGTGTTTATGTGCAAATAAGTAGCATGCTGATAGAAGGAGAGAACCGTGTGAGAGAGTGTGCTGCTTTTCCTTTTCCTATTTATGTACCGGCTGGGGGAAAGACTAGACCTGTAAGGGTTATGGAACTGCAGCAAAAAAAAAAAAAACATGTCTCCTGCCTGATGAGTGTAAATCTCAATACTGGATGGACAAAAATACAAATCTTTAGCAGATACAACAGATACCATGTATGTTTTGGTTTTTTCTTTTTTTGCGATGTATATAGCTGTTTGCCTGGAGGATAGCTTCAACAAATGTGAGGCAACAGAGACTTACAGTTGTAAGGTCTCAATTCCTGACATAGTACTATGGCTACTTGAGTTGTATAGAGCAAAAGGTACTGCAGTTAGAGTGGTGTCACAAGGGGGGTGCGGCCCTCACTGGTTGACACCACAATGACTGACAGGCATTTTGGTGTCACCCCCACTGAACAGTTGGGCACCGAGAGCCCGACAACTGCACAATAGAGGAGGGGACCTGGCGGCATACCTTATCCCTCCAGCTGAAGCCCCCTTCTCTCTCTGCGGGCGTCCATTACTGAGATGGCCACCATGCGTGACACTGAGGACGCCTCTGCCAGCTTCTGCTTCATTCCCTACATGTTTCAGTCCTATATTGAAACAGAGTGACAGATCGAGTGTTGTCCAATGAGAAAGTGGCTTTTTCAGACATACCTGAAATGAGATTGTGTTCCAGCGGAATAAAATGGTGGAACATATCAATCATTCTATATCCTCTTGTAGTTAGATTTATAGGATGTAGCAAGTACAGATGTTTTTATATAACAACAGCAGGTATAGTAAAGTCATTTGACTTTTGAACCATGGTGTTCTTTTAATATGGAGAAACACTGGGCAGTTCATGGTTTGGCATACAGTGTTCCATGCTGAGTAGCAAAATGCTGTGGTTGTCACTTCTGAGAACTGCACAAACACCCATCAGCCATCCGCCAAATAAAGACATCACCCTCTTCTATTAGGAGAGAAATGTTTGCTCATTCCCGATCTTATCTGAGATGAAGCTGCATAATCGGGCAGTGGGCTTTAAATGCTGTATGTTGGACTTCCCTGATCAGTATTAAAGCCGATTGGGCACTTGATTAAAAGAATAAAAAAAATAAAAAGCCCAGCCTTTATCCAAAAGTTAATCCTTACTGTCCTGCTAGCTGCAGATCTTTGCCCCCTCGAAGAGCTACAGCGGTTTAAACAAAACCTTCTGCATCCGACACATTTCTGGAAGTGTCGGGCGCCTGCTCTCTTGCTGGACGCTGTAGTTTGATCCACCGGCCTTCATGTCACTACTGTATCTTGTAGCAACGTAAGGGCTGGTATATGGAACCAAAGAGCTCAGTCGGGACCAGCCATTAGACATTTGAAGCTGATCTTCAGCTCCTAAAGAGGGTAAAAAATTGCAGCAGGACCGGGAGTATTAACTTTTTGCTTTACAGGAAGGCCTTAAAAAAAATTCCTAGTCATTGTTATGAAGTTCAGGTATCTCATATACCTGCAGCAGGGTCCAAGCCCTTTTTCTACCCTGAATGCCAGGTTGGTCTGATGGGCAAAGCTCCAACAGTTCCTGGATCAAGCTTGCTACCTTCCAACCATTACTATTGGTTCAATATTATGAAGGGATACCTCATTAGCCAATAGCACTGAGTGGGAGGCGGGCAAGCCTCTTGGGGTCTGTACTTTATGCTTAGCAGATTCAAAGCACCTTTTGTAGTCTTTACAAAATCTTCCGCTGATGCAGGAGAGTAACTAAAGAACCACTAAACCGTAAAGTAGATCTAAACCCTAACCCTCCCCGCCTACATTCTCAAATAAGCTTTAACATATCATCATTCCAAAAGTGGTTTCCAATCTTTTAAAGCTGCGGTTTTCATTAAAGTAATACCTGGTGCTCATGCCACAAAGGTCCTTTTTAGGCACTCCCGGTCCTAGGGTGACAACATGAGACTGTCGCAGGTCGGCTCAGTAGATCAGGAGGTGAGGGAACACATACCGGGTTCCCTCACCTCTCGATCCTGTCACGGCTCTCTGCCGTGACAGGGGGAGGGGCTGGATTCACCTCTCCCCGCTCCGATCTGCCAGCGCTGGCTGGCGGAGGGGGCGGGTACAGCTGGCTCTGCCTCTAGATAGGCAGAGCCAGCTGTCACTCACGCAGCTGGGCGGATC